GGAGTAGCGCGACGTTGTCGGACTTTGGTCGAGATATCTGGCAACATCAACGTCGCTGTGGACATAAGGCGCGTTTTCGTGTTTGTTAGACTTAGGGGCGAGTTTTAGTATACAATCGACTTAAAAAAAGGAGAATAAAGTCGATATTTTGAACATAGATTATTGAAAATTATTGATAGTTAACGCCTGGATACTGAAAGGGGACTCAATTTGAACTTGTACTTAAATATCGTGCCGTCTCTTTCATTTTACAAAGATATTGTAGTGACAGAACTAGACTTGAGCGCGACTTATAATTGATTATCCTTTCAGTATTCGCGTGTAGGTCATTAAACTGTCAAACACCGGGAGGACTCCGGTGACCGCAACCTATTGTTCTTTATTTGTGTCTATAATGACGGTACGAGTTAAGGTGGAAAATCGCAGGAATATGTGGGTTCTGTTACTTACTGTCCCAAACTCACACTGGGTTTTAAAAAAACGGTCTTTATATAAAAGGGTTTCGACAAAACCATGCGGTCGTAGACGTAAACGCTACAGTATTTATTATTTGATATTAAGTCAAATGTTACCCAGAATAATTAATATTACATAACATAACATAACATCACGCCTTTTATCCCCGAAGGGGTAGGCAGAGGTGCACACAGAGGTAACACCCACTTTTCACTATTTATGTTATGAGTCCCATGTCATAGGGGGTGAGCCTATTGCCATATACCGGGCACATTTCCAGACTCCGTGCTACTACTGAGATTTTTTTTAAAAACCCAGTAATACTTTGCCCGACCCGGGAATCGAACCCGAGACCCCTCGCCCGGCAGTCGCACTTGCGACCACTCGGCCAACGAGGCAGTCTTGTCAAACAATTAAGAGTATTAACTAGAGGGGTAGACAGCTGTCCGTAACATTTTCATTTTATTAGAAAATCATATTTTATTAAATATAAATATTCTTTGAAGAATAATTTTATAAGGGAACCTATATATATATATTAAAACTTCCGTGAAACATAATAATTAACCTTTAGTGAACATTTTTAAATAATTATTTTGTCAACGAATATTTTTAATGTGCAGTCAGCCAAGTCATTCAGTATGAATCATCTGTGGCCAAATGCCATTTAGCGCTTGTCTACATGTAGAATAGAAAACCAAATTATATGGAATTGACGTAAATTTTGACACTTGTCAGTGTCATCCCCATACATTTTGATTTCTACTCTCTCTGTAGACAAGCGTTAAAGTGGCGTTTGGCTAAAGGCACAGGTAAGGAAATAAAGATAGATTCAGTACAGAGACAGTGGCTATTGTTGTACTAAATTGTATGCTTTGTAACGAAGCCATATCTTTTGTAACCATTGGTCGGCTCTAGACAACCAATGGCTACTGTCTCTGTACTCAAACAATCTTTATTTTCTAATAACTGGGTTAAGTGTACATTTAAATACATTCTTACTAAATTATTATGTTTTCGGCTTACTCACGTAACGGTTTGACGAGGAACTCGATTGGTTTCAAACTGCTACTGACGTAGTACTGCAACAGTCGCCGCGTCATGTGTCGCGAAATGCTGCTCATGAATATGAGCCTCTAGCACGGCTTGAAACTAGTCGAGTTCCTCGGCAAACAGTTACGTGTGTAAGTCGAGAACATAATAATAAAGTAAAAATATATTTACATGTACACTCAACCCAGTTATTACAAAATATAGATTGTTTCAGTACAGAGACAGTAGCCATTGGTTGTCTAGAGCCGACCAATGGTTACAAAAGATATGGCTTCGTTACAAAGCATACAATTTAGTATAACAATAGTGACTGTCTCTGTACTGAATCTATCTTTGTTTTCTTACCTGGTGCCTTAGCCAAACGCCACTTTAGCGCTTGTCTACTGAGAGAGTAGAAAACTAACTACTTTTTTTTAAAGAGTAACGAATGGAGTTTCTTACTCGTTCTTCTCCATTCGAATCTACATTTTGGAATGAGCACCTAGCTTCACCTAGCTTCACTGACGGACTGACTGACAGACTATTATTTATTTTGTATTTGTTGACGTTTCAAAAGTACCAAATTATGGTTTAATTGAAATAAATACTTTGACTTTGACTAAATGTATGGTGATGACACTGACAAGTGTCAAAATTTACGTCAATTCCATATAATTTGGTTTTCTATTCTACATGTAGACAAGCACCAAGTAGCATTTGGCTATAGCTGATTCATACTGAATGACTTGGCTGACTGCAAATTAAAAATATTCGTTGACAAAATAATTATTTAAAAATGTTCACTAAAGGTGAACTATTTTCAAATAGACAATTCCATTCCATACCGTCAAGACAAATGACTTTGATCGTTATCGCGATAACAATAAGATATATTTTTAGCTGCATAACAAAACTATACTAGTAAATTAATTTTGGCTTATGTCATTCTTATTACTATCGCAATAGGTTTCAAAATCCATTGATTGAACGATTGACAATAATAATTCCTCTTTATATTCGTCCCATGTAGGGGAATTTGCAAAAAAACATGTTAATAAAACATATTTTCGCTACATGTGCGATGTTTTGAGCTAAAAACGTCATAACACACAAAATTTGAAGAATCAAGGAATCTAATTGAAGAATTTGCTCACCAGGCGGCACTCACATAGCCAGGAACAATTATAATTTTAAGTTTTGTTATTGTATATCTGTCAGTTTATTGATGTATTCATTGTTTGGTATCTGTTTCAGTTTTGTTTTGTATTTTTTTATTTATTTGTGTATCATTCCATATGGGCCACAGTTGCCTGCCCGCACAAGTCGCCAACGCGCATTGAGCAAGCGTGGTGATTAATGTTCAAACATTATCCGTGTGAGAAAAGGCAATGCTCAGCAGTGAGCATCTATATGCTGTTGATGATGATGAAAACGACTGGATGTATCGGACCTCACACTACTAGCACCCTCTGGTGAGCAAAAAATGTGTAAAAGCCGTCATTTTGAACATAAATGGAATTGTATGATGTGCTAGCATGTTATCAGTACTCAAGTACGGTCAGCATCAAAAGTTGATGAACACATTTAGATTTTTTTTATTATATTTGACGGGCCTACGTTTGACCACTATCTCGCCTGGTGGTAAGCGATGATGCGGTCTACGATGCGTCTACGATTTACAACAATCGCTGTACACCGTATTATTACCTCAATCGGCGAACATGACAAGAGCGTAAACCCGTGAACGTACCAGCAAATATTTAAGAAATAAGTATGCTGTTTGACGCTAAAAAAACGTGACGTCACAATACACAATCTCGTTACAAAATTCATAGAAAACTGTCGTTTTTGACAGTTCGAAAAAGGTATTGAATTTGACAAATGATCAAATACCGTATGTTGATCGATTAAGGTAATACGAATACGCTGTAGGTACAGCGATTTTGAAAACTGTGTTCATCAAATCTTGATGTAGACCGTACATTCAGTTCTACAAATACAAATATCAGATACTTACCTTTTACTATGTGACCAATACTGATTAAGGGCCAATTTTTCAATGATCATATAAATTTTAACTGAGGAATAAAATAACTTTGAATATTTGACAATTCTCCCATACTAAGAACTGTCAAATGTCAATTAAGAATTAACTGATTATTGAAAAATCAGCCTTCCTTACTAATATTATGTATCAGAAAGTGAGTTTGTTTGTTTGTTTGTTTGTTCCACTTTCACGCCGTAACTACTAAACCGATTGCTTTGAATTTTTGCAGACGTAAAGTTCGAAGTCCGGATTAAATAATAGGGTACTTTTTATCCCGGAAATAATTAATATTCCCGAGGGAAAACAAAAGTATTGGTATAGATGGCGCTGTGTATATTGGTATATATCACATAGGCTACTATTTATCCTTTTGTAACGCGAGCGAAGCCGCGGGTAAAAGCTAGTAAGAAAATATAAATTAATTAACTGACGAAATTATTCACCGTGAAATCTATCTCGTTCTCGTTCCGCGGCAAAACGATAAGCCATAAGGAGGGGTCATCCATAAATTACGTCACACGAATTTCATGATTCTTTTACCCCTCCACCCGTCATTGTCACACCCTCTAGTGTGACGTCACATTTTGCAGAATTACAGTATAGAAACTATAACATAACATAACATCACGCCTTTTATCCTCGAAGGGGTAGGCAGAGGTGTACCTACATTATGCCACTGTACAATGTAACACCCACTTTTCACTATTTATGTTATAAGTCCCATGTAATAGGGGGTGAGCCTATTGCCAAATACACTTAAATTACTTTAAAAAAATATTATCGACTCCCTTCCTCCCCCTTAAGTTGTGACGTAATTTATGGACGGCCCCGGACTACCTTCGATGTATAAAGTAAAAACAAAAAATTAAAGATGTCATTTTTATAGTTTAACTATTTGTTTCATTGGAGTACGCACATGAAACACAAGACGTAAATTAATAATCACCCGCTTTCAGTACAGATCGCATAGTAAAAGAAACAATATATGACATATCATTATTCCATACAATGTAATGGTCACAAAATATATTAAAAATGAACCGTCTTTTCAATAATAGGAATGATGACAGGGTATGAAAATTAAAAATCTAATTAGTCCGTAAGTTAGGTAATGAAAAAATATTAGACACGTATTTTTTTATTTTGTCGTATAAGAAAACAATACTTAAATAAAACGAATCAAAGGTATCTACGTAATTTTAGAGTATAAATCGTACTCAAAAGTGACGTCATACGATATTTCAAATCAATATATCTTCGAAACTATTCGTTTCAGTAAGAAAATAAAAAATACGTGTCTAATGTTTTAAAATAATCTACCAGACGGACATTGAAATAAAAATTAGTCATCTACCGTATTACTGTATATAAATTAAGCTTAGCACTGGATAAGAACTTTGCTACCATCAGTTGACTGGAATCTCTACACTACACGAGTCACTGTTTACATTTTTTTTTCTAAAAATTATAGTTTACATTGCGACCCTTTCCGCGGTATATTGATGAACGGTGAAGGGTGCGGATATAACTTCCTACGGCATTTAAAGTCTACCAAATCTACAATTTTCGTTGGCTGAAACAGAAAGAAAATAATATTAATAATTTGTCTATGTAGCGATTATATACGAAGACAAGTTCAATGATAAAATCAATAGATAAAGCGACGAATCTTTTTTATGGGTAAAGCCGGTAAACGAGCAGAAGGATCACCTGATGGTAAGCAATCGGCGTCGCCCATTGACACCCGGAACTCGAGAGACGTTACAAGTGTGTTACCGGCCTTTTGGGGATTAAGGGGTTGGGGAAAGGTAATTTTTCAAGTGTGGGCTCGCCATGATACGAATGGGTCGGCTCGACCGGTTTTTTTTTTAAGGGGGGAAAATCATCGTCTGCTCCCGCCTGGGTGAGGCGGGAGGGAGTATCAGACTTTTACTGACTAAAAACCACCCCGTTCCTACTCCTGCACGTCGAGCCGGAGCCCCGGTAACCCGTTAGGTTCTCCGCGACGGCTCGACCGGATTGATACCACGGCCGAGTAGAAAACCGACCCATCGTGTGAGTGAGGTACCGAAGGCCCAATTACTCCCCCCCCCCCCACAGTCTACACAATCCCCGAATCCCGCACAAATATCAAATTTCCAATTCCAAAAAGGCTGGTAGCGCAATTGTAACGTCTCTGGTGTTCCGGGTATCCATGGGCGATCCGTCTGCTCGTTTACCGGCTTATCTCATAAAAAATATCTATTTTTATTCTTCTTTAACCATAACCTTTGACCATTGGAAAGTCAACTACTTACTATAGAATACTAGGATAAAGGAAAAGTATATTACTTTTAACTAAAAAAATATTAATGAATATTACCTTCTTAATCTTCTGATCCTCACTGTCACTGCCGCAGGCGGGTGGGTTATCATTTTCTTCGCTCTCCTTACTGACCGCGCCGTGCCCAGCGCCGCCCTCTGCCGTCGACACTATGTACACTGACAGCTTCTGTCGGTCTGGCGAGTCCGCGGATATGTGACGCTATAAAAAATATAAATATATTGTAAGAAAAACTACATTATTTTGAAACAGTTTCTTCAACCGAACACCCGACCAGTTTCGGTCGAGAACGGAGCCTTTATTGGCTTGGAGTTCGATCAGGAGGTCAGTAATATGCATATAATTCAAGTGTGAGAGAGCCATGCTTCGGCACGAGGGGCCGGTTCGACTGGAGTGATACTACGGCCCAGCAGAAAACCGACGTGAAACAACTGGTTCGTCGTCTGAGTGAGGTTACCGGAGGCCCAATTACCTTCTCCTTCCCCGATGTACCCAATCCTCAACAGTCCTCAAATTCCTAATCCCTAAAAAGCCGGTAAAGCACTGTTAACGCCTCTGATGTTCCAGGTGTCCATGGGCGACGCCGATTGCTTACCATCAGGTAATCCGTCTGCTCGTTTACCGGCTTATGTAATAAAAAAGATATTATAATCCAACAAATCTTAGCCTTGGTATGTATATCAAGTTATTTACTTATTATTCATGCAACATCAGTGTTGACCGGTCGATTACAATTGAGTACTTTCCTTAATCAAAAATAAATTATTTCGACTGTTCAATACAATAAAATATTTAAAAACAATCACACTTTCATTAATTGATTTTATGACCAACTTAATTTTAATATTTTTCCAGCAAATTTTTAACAAATAAGTTTGCTTTTAACGCTAAAAAACGTGACGTCACAATACACAATCTCGTACAAAATTAATAGAAAACTGTCGTTTTTGACAGTTCGAAAAATCTATTGAATTTGACTAGTTGGCAAGTACCCGACTATTGTTACGTAAAAGAAACATTTAATTCCTTACTTTTATGAAAATAAAACTCGATTTTTACTATAACTTGTCGGCGTTTTTCGGGAGCGTTCGGTTTACATAACATAACATCACGTCTTTCATCCTTGAATGGGTAGGCAGAGGTGTACATTATACCACTGTACAGTGTAACAACTTTTCACTATTTATGTTATAAGTCCCATGTAATAGGGGATGAGCCTATTGCCATATACCGGGCACGATTCCAGACTCAGTGCTACTGAGATTTTTTTAAAAACCCGTTAGTATGTTGCCCGACCAGAGAATCGAACCCGAGACCCCTTGCCTGGCAGGCGCACTTGCGACCACTCGGCCAACGAGGCAGGGGTACGAAATAGATGGATGATTGGCATACCTTATAAAACTGTATCAATTCTTCTTTAGTGACTGTGTTCAGCTGTTCCACCTCAACCCTCGGCCGGTCGAAGTTGTACACCTGTCGGGGAGGTATCTATCATAACTACTAGGCTATAGATATGTTTGGTACACTCACGCTTTTCTCCCTTTGGGGTAAGCAGATATCATTAGGTTACACAATATCATCCTATACATAGTATAAAACTATATACTATCCGATCCGTCGTCTGTCTGTCCCTATATATGATTAGATCATTAAAACTACGCAACGGATTTTGATGCGGTTTTTTTAATAGATAGAGTGATTCTTAAGGAAGGTTTATATGTATAATACATGCATATTGCACCCGTGCGAAGCCGGGGCGAGTCGCTCGTTCATTATTAAGTAGTAAAGGCTTATAATTAGTTGATTTTTGCTGTGTATATTACCTGTGCAGTGATCTCGCTCCACATAAGCGAGGCCCTACTGGACATACGCTTCGGTTTCTCCAGCTTCTGAGCCGCTAGCGCAGCCCTATGCTTCGAGAACTCCACATCTGACATATTTTGTAGGTATTCCTGTTAAAAATACTTAAAGTTATAACATATTTGACATCACGTCTTTTATCCCCGAAGGTGTAGGCAGAGGTGCACAATACGGCACTTTATATTAAAATTAAAATAAAATTTATTGAATCAAGAAAGAGTTTACACAATTTTGTTTTACATAATGTCTATCATATAACTTACATAATATTTGTATCATGAAAACAATTTTAGCATCTGTTGCTGAGATTGGTCTTAAGCCTGTGCTTCAGCCCGCAGCGCTTCAATCCTCGGAGCAAGTTTGTAAATTATAAAAACTAAATCTGGGTATACAAACCAATAAACGTAAGAAACAACATGCTTAACAATAAAATAAATTAAAAAGTAAAAATCCTCTGAATGAATAAGGTGAAAAATGAGTGTATGTGTGTCAGAGGGTGAGTAATTATGCCAGTTGTATCTACATTGCTATTATATACTTTATGCCACTATACAATGTAACTACTCTTCACTATTTATGTTATGAATCTCATGTAATAGGGGGTGAGCCTATTGCCATATACCGGGTACCATTCCAGACTCCGTGCTACAACAGACATTTAAAAAAACCCGACCGAGGAATCGAACCCAAGGCCCTTGCCTGGCAGTCGCACTTGCGACCAATCGACCAATGAGGCAGTCATTACGTTAGACATAGACATTAAGTTATCTTCTAGGCTATACGAATTATAAAGCTGTATTTGTTTGTTTGATCGCGCTTATCACCAGAACTACTGGTTCTAATTGAATATTATATTACTAGCGGAGCCAACAGACGTTGTCCTGCGTATCGACTTGAATGTATAAACAAAAATTCATTCAAATTAGTTCAGCTGTTTAGGATAACTAACCTAAACATCGACTGCAGCGCCATCTGCCGAGCTGATTTGTGAATCTAAACCATTCCCAGATCCCCTTGAACACACACAAAAAATTTCATCAAAATCGGTCCAGTCGTTTGAGAGAAGTTCCGTGGCATACACACTCACAGAAGAATTATATATATAAAGAAAATTAATGTGTTGGTTAGTCCATTTATCGAGGATGGCTATAGGCTATAAAATTACGTGCTACACTGCTAACTGAGTACCCAGCTATACCGCCACTCGGAGGGTAACTGCGAGCTCACAGCGCTAGCTATACAGATTAGCCCGAAACGAGTCGAGCATCCTCGAAAAACTTCGTAATCCATAAATATTGTTCTGTCATAAATATCACGATAATAATTATTAATCCTTACTTATATTATAAATCGGAAAGTGAGTTTGTTTGTTTGTTCCGCTTTCACGCCGTAACTACTAGACCGATTGCTTTGAATTTTTGCAGACGTAAATTTAGAAGTCTGGATTAAATAATAAAGTACTTTTTATCCCGGATAAAATTGATATTTCCTAGGAAAAACAAAAATATTGGTATAGATGGCGCTGTATGTACTGGTATAGATGGCGTTGTATGTCATTTAAAACCAGTCAACGAATTACCTAGTTATTGGAAAAATCTAAATAGCGCGATATAACCGAATTCCACGCGAGCGGAAAGCTATTTGTTTGTTTGCCTGTCTTAAACGGCAGAACGGAGGTACTAATTAACGTGATTTTTTAACTGAAGGTAGTTGAACGGATGGATAGTCACATAGGCTACTTTTTATCCTTTTGTGACGCGAGCGAAGCCGCGGGTAAAAGCTTGTTAGAAATAAGTTTAACTCACCAGCGACCCCTGCAGGAAGTTCTCTATCCTCTCCTCCAGGTACTCTGGATGCCTGTCGCTCTGGACTATGACCCTGAACCCCTGCACTCCATTGGAGCGACGCAGTCCACTGAACACTATGTAGCCTAGTTGCTCCTGCGATAAAAAAAAGAACAATAACAAGATTAGTGTCTGATTCTGGTCCGTTTCCTTCTTCTGCGAAGCAGGCATGCTAATTAAGGAGGAGGCGGAGCGCGTGAGGGAACGAACCTCCTCAAGCCCCAGCCGTCGCGAGAGATACGCCGGGCGTCGGGGATCGCGAGACGATCTCCGGCCACCGTAAGCGCGGGCCTGCGGATGGCGAGCATGGGTGGCTCCCCGTCCGACCAAATACAGACCCGAGCGTACGGCGCCATCAGACCACCACAGATGGGGCACATAGGGCTGATTCCGATACGGAGCCGCGGAAGACTTAACCGATTGCCGAGGCTCCGGCTCGAAGTGCAGAAGTAGGAACAGGGTGGTTTTTAGTCAGTAAGAGTCTGACACTCCCTGTCGCCACACCTGGGCGGGAGACGTGATAGGATGATTTCGCCCCCTCAAAAAAAGAGTCTAATTCTGATCAGCACCCTAACTCCAACCCGAGGGAACCTATCGGCCGCTGTCTGGCTCCGTTTAAATCAAATGAAACGGCAAATTTAAGCCTTGTATCTAATTCCGGTCGATATCCGGCCGGCCACAACTTAACTCCATCCAAATTAACTAAAACGTATATTTCCACTATGTTCCTAATATCGTTCAGTACCTAATTTCAGCCACTTCCTAAATTCTGTCGAATCTCATAAAACTTCTATTTCCACCATTGTTCTACCATTGTACGATCTTAATACCGGCCATGTTATAATTACTATTGTATGCATTGAAATTAATAGCATAGATACTAGCGCCACTCGGTATTTACTTGTACTACATGTAATATGTTATCTATGGAGCTGAATAAGTCTGTGTCAAACACTTCCTGCGTATATTATTAGGCCACTTCCCAACTCCAACCAAATCACCCAAAACGCCTATTTTTTGGACGTGACAACGTCTTATAAATTGGTTTGCCGGATGACACTTCAAGAAACTGCGTTACGCTCCGCTTACGTTATGCGCTCACAATGAGAGCGAGTGAGAGGCACGCGTCCCTTCCACTCGGGCATGGTTAGCCCGCCTAAGAGCGAGAGAGACAGACATAAAAAGTGAAAGGCACGCGTATTAATGTTTTAAATATAATTCTTTGTATAAACAAATGTTTTAAATTGTTACTATTATTTCATCCTTCTTCCTACTAATACGAATGAATATTCACATTAAAATTATTTTACCACTCAAAGTCGTTGTCACGTAAAACTTTCGCCCGTATACAGGCAACCAATGTTTTATTACGTTTCTAATTCCGACCACAATCCTAATACCGGCCAGGCCAATCCCTAATTTCGTTCAAATCACCTATAAAACACCTATATCCATTGCGATCCTAATTCCGGCCACGTACCTTAGTCCTAAGCATGCTGAAGCAGGGCTCGGCGAGTGTATGCGCGAGCAGTTCGAGCGTGACGTTGGTCCGACACTGGCGCACGCCGCACGAGTAGTACAGCGACGCGCACGACGAACGGTGCACGCTGTTCGTCGTCTCGCGGAGGTGCCAGGCGCCTGGAGACAACCATATTATGACGATCATCATCAAAAATAGCATATAAGTTGCCACATAACATCAACATCAGCCTTTTATCCCCGAAGGGGTAGGTAGATAGGGGTAGGTAGGTAGGAGATATAATTATGTACAACCATTCCTTTCCTTTTTTAAATGTACTTAACTTCACATGCCCTAACCAGGCTAAATAGACTATAAGAACAAAGGATGTAACATAAAAACCATCAAATGTAATAACTCTATTTAAATGTGAATAAATGAATTTTGATTTTGATTTTGATTTTTAGAGGCGCACATTATGTTTGTGTGTATGTATGTGTATATGTATGCATGTTTATGTGTATGTATATGTACATGTATGTATGTATTATTACTACGTTATTTATTTTTTATTTCTTTCTTAGTACACAACCCGTCTAAATGTTTCTTTTCATTATATCCACCCAAAGGTTGTCTGGTAGAAATCACTATAAGTGATAAGACCGCCTTTGTGCCCATTATTATTTTTATTTGTATTTGTCATTTCCTTTTCTGTATGTACTGTATTATTAATGGTGTACAATAAAGTTATATTCTATTCTATTCTATTCTATTCTACTATGGCACTGAATACCACAGTAATACTTTGCCAAAGCCAGAAATCGAAGCCCCCTTGCACGGCAGTTGCACTACCAATACCATTGAGTCGAATATTACGACATCCGCGGGAATAATAGGAATAATGCTAACAAATGTACTCTATTGTATACTATAAGTAAGAAAATTATCATTTCCTTTTACCTTTTTCGATTTCAATTTCTCTGTGTAACAATAACTGCTGGGCACATAGCGGCGTCCCATCTTTCGGTAATCTGCAACAATAATTCATCATCAAAAGCCTATAAGTGCCCACTGCTGAGCAAAGCAGGAGAAGGTTAAAGCGTTAATCACCACGCTTGCTCAACGATTTCAAAATTAATAATTAGATATTAGGGGTCATCCATAAATTACGTCACATAAATTTCATGATTTTTTTGCCCCTCCCCCGTCCTTGTTACAGCTAGTCACATTTGTGAGACTTCCCCCTCCCCCTAGTGTGACGTCATATGTTGCAGAATTACAGTATATATAATATTTAAAAAAAATATACACTACTGTTACTTTTATTTCCAATTAAATTACTTTAAACAAATATTAATGTCAATCAAACAATTAACAAAATAAAAAACATTAATACAATTATATTTCATATTTTAACACACATTATAATAGTTTTTGAAATGTGACATCACAAAGTTTTGGATCCCTCCCTCGCCCTTGTCACATAATATCACACTTCGTCGACCCCCCCTCCCCCTTAAATTGTGACGTAATTTATGGATGGCCTTATAAGCCCAGGTTTCCTCACGATATTTTAAACGAACTAAATTATTTTTTAATTTACAGATGGTTCGATAAAATGCAAAACAAAAATGTTAATGGTTCCGTTTCAAGCGTACAGTCAAAGGTCAAAAGTCCACTGCCACCGTGAGTGATGTTCACACGGCAATGCGTAAGTAATTTCATATTAATGTGTCTAAAAACGCTTGTGTACGCATAAACACACGCACGCGTACGCACACGGATACAAATATGCGTGTGCATGTGTGTGTGTATAAGCGCTGCAGCGCAACCGATAGTAGCCTTACGGCCGTTCCCAATATTCAATCCATAGGTAAAGATAGATAGCTATCTTCGATAGTCAGTTAAAGTTTATCTATCTTTAAATTTGCCGTCTCAATAAACTTACTGGCGATAGGCAAACTAATCTATGGTTGTCATTACCTGTGGGAGGACGGATAGGTTATCTACAGATTGCTTTTACTATGAAATTGACAGTTCACGCGTCCCAATAATAACAAAGGTGCTATCTGCTATCTCCAGTAGGGCAAAACAAGGGATAGATAGAATATTGGGAACGGCCGTTAGGGTGGACTTTTGACCTTTGGCCGTACAAGGCAAATAAAAGCTTGCCTTTACTCACTTTTTCTCCATACATTCAGCTATATGCAGCGCCCTGTCCCTGCTGAGGTTGCCATACATGAACCCTTCTATATGCACCTTCCGTATCAAACGAGATGCAAAATCCGTCAACATTTCTGCAGTCATATCTGTAAAAGAAATTTGTTTAAGAGAAACAAGTGAATTTACTATCTATATTAATATTTCGTCAAGAGGTACGGTTGACTCGATCGAAACATTACCTGAATAACAAAACAAAAAAAAGTATCGATTTCGAGTCGACAACATATATCCGCAAAATTCGGATTACGGAGATTATTTCGTTTGAGGCGTTGCACAGTCTCTGCCTACCCCCATGGGAGACAAGCGTGAAGTTATGTGTGCATATCTACAACAAATAGTTACCTTCAGCAGCTTCCAATAGTTGACATCTTGTCCAGACCACATCTGCCAAGCAAAGAGCTTGTTGATAGACTGCGTGCTGCAAAATTAATACTTATTTTACTAAAACAACTTAAGTGTTAGATTAGGTTAAAGTGTAAGCTAAATAATAGGCGTAGGCGAAAGATGGGCATACACCTATTCCCAATTTTTTAAAGGGGGGAAAGTCATCGAATGACTTCTCCCGCCCGGGTGAGGCGGGAGGGAGTGTCAGACTCTTACTGACTAAAAACCACCCCGATCCTACTCCTGCACTTCGAGCCGGAGCCCCGGTAACCCGTTAGGTTCTCCGCGCGCCTATTCCCAATATTAACTGAATTTAGCAAAAGGGATAAGCGTGGGTAAAAAGCACCCTTGCTGTGACGAATGTACGGATGCAACGAAAAATATGGTGACAAGGATATTCATAAAATTATTTAATACACATTATTTTATTACATTAACATAAAATCACGTCTTTTATCCCCGAAGGGGTAGGCAGAGGTGCATATTACATCACTTAATGCCACTGCACAATGTAACACCCACTTTTCACTATTTATGTTATGAGTCCCATGTAATAGGAGGTGAGCCTATTGCGATATACCAGGTACAATTCCAGACTCCGTACTATTGAGATTTTTTGTTAATCCCAGTAATTCTTACTCGACCCAGGAAACAGAACCGAGACCCGTTGTAGGCAGTCGTAATTGCGACCACTCGGCCAACGAGGCAGTCGTTTGTTACAATAAGGAAAAGAAAAAGAAAAAAAATTAAAATTAAATTATAAATAAATAGAAGAAGAGCTTTTGGTCAGCAGTAACCTAGTAAGCCTATATGTGCCATCGCGAAGGACACACCGGGCGTCAGGGATCGCGGGACGATCTCCGGCCACCGTAAGCGCGGGCCTGCGGACGGCGAGCATGGGTGGCTCCCCGTCCGACCAGAAACAGACCCGAGCGTACGGCGCCGAGCGTTCCGCGCGCGCCTCAAAGAGCCATCAGACCACCACAGATGGGGCCCAATAGGGCCGATGCCGATTTGGAGTCGCGGAGAACCTAACGGGTAACCGGGGCTCCGGCTCGACGTGCAGGAGAAAGAACGGGGTGGTTTTTAGTCAGTAAGAGTCTGACACTCCCTTCCGCCTCACCCAGGCGGGGCGGGTGGGATTTTCCCCCCTTAAAAAAAAAAAGTAAGCCTATAAGTAGGCTATATAAATATTTTTTTGTGTCTTTGTCTAACCATACAACATTGCTACCATCCGTGCGTCACTGCATGGGTGCCCACTGAAAATCAGTGCTGGGTGACTTGCATGCCTGGCTTACACTGAGTGGGTGACCCTTTTAGCATAGGCATGTTGTCAGCGTCTCTCTTCTAATTCTTCTGTTTTAATTTTTCAACTAAATATTTTTATTACTTCCACTGTCACACCTTTATTGTCTTTTTTATATTTTATTTATGCTGCATCGTGCCTGGTGCTGAATAAATGTATTTTCTTTCTTTATTTCTTTTTTGATGAAATATTTAAAACTTTAATTAAAAAACATACCTGATATGGTTGTTCGGCTTCAAAATTCCGTATCGCCCGAACATGATTCTCCTTCATGATATGAAACCGTTTGGGGTCAGCAGTAAAGTTGATCATATGGTCCACTATTTTGTCTAGAAGAACGTTTTGCTTGTCATCGTATCCGTCGATCGTTACCTACGAGAATACAGCTCGAAATGAAAGTCAAAGTCAAAATATAAAAAAGGGAATTTTGAATGAAGCACACCGCTTTTTTCCTCACCAGATGACGCAATAGGTATGCTGACGGGGTATGATATTCAAAATGTATTAAGTCCGTCAGTTAAATGATGAAAACATTCTAGACAGGTTTTTTTTTTAACTAAAAATGACGAATTACTCACGTGAAAGCTCTACTGGTTTCGAGCATTATCGCACACGTATTTCTTTATTTTATCGTATAGGTACTAGCGACCCGCCCCGGCTTCGCACGGGTGCAATATGCATGTATTATACATATAAACCTTCCATAAGAATCACTCTATCTATTAAAAACCGCATCAAAATCCATTGCGTAGTTTTAAAGTTCTAAGCATACATAGGGACAGGCAGATGGCGGAATGCTACTTGTTTTATACTATGTAGTGAAGAAAATAATACTTAAATATACTAGCTGTAGAATATGAATTTTAGAAAATTTATCTTTTGTTACAATTTTCCAAAATAAAAGTAGCCCATGTTACTCCTTAGTGCATTAGCTACCTGCCAATAAAAGTCTTGTAAAATCGGTCCAGCCATTCCAGAGATTAGTCAATACAAACAGACAGACAGACAAAAATTGTAAAATATTGTTATTTTGCTATGCGTATCGTATTTATATTCATTTGCATGTAGTAAAAAGCGGTTATTTTAATATTACAAACAGAAACTCCAATTTAATGAATCAAAGTTTAGGAGTGGGGGCTAAAACGTCATTTCTACGTATAAACGTCACTTCTATGTACATACATAGAAGTGACGTCACGCGACATTTCAAATCAATATATCGTCGAAAGTATTCGTTTCCGTAAGAAAATAAAAAATACGTGTCTAATGATTTAAAATAATCTACCAGACGGACATTAAAATAAAAATTAGTCATCTATCCTATTTAATTGTAGAAAGAAATTTTTGGTCCAATCACAACAGTATTCAAATATTGCACGCCCAATGATGTGACATTAGCTAATTCCCTATTGGACGAATAACGGTCTCGATATCATCACTAACGCCATCTGGTGGACAAAAATGCGGTAGCCTCACTGTCTAAGCTCAACATCGGCGGAACCGCGTCGGTTTTAAACTGTCAAACACCGCGAGGACACCGGTGACCGCAACCTATTGTTCTTTAATTGTGTCTATAATGACGATGCTCAAAGAGTTAAGGGATGATAGAAGCTTATTGCTACGGCGGCTACTCACGACGCGATGTGCATCTGCGTCTATCGCGGTCGTGGAATGCAGGGATATTAGGGAACTCTTAACCGTAACCGAAACTATAGGATATCTGAGTGCCAAGCACGAATAACTATCGTAACAGTATCGAGCGAGTTAAGCGTTCAGATTGGTTGGTTCACTTGCTCCGGCCAATCAGAGCGCCGAACGCGCTCGATACTATTACTTTACGAATGCGATAGTTATTCGTGCTTTGTACTCAGAGGGCCAAGCACGAATAACGTGGTGGCCCGGTTAACAAAATATGCTGCCGTTTATAATTGTATTCAGTTTCTTGTTTACCAAGATTATGCAGTTTAAAACCGTCGCGGTTCCGCTTTTAGGGCAACTGTGACCAGAAATTAGGTTTCCTGTCAGTTTTTAAACTATTTGCTCGTTCCAAAATGTAGATTCCTGTGGAGAAGGACCAGTAAGAACTGTATAAGTTACTCTTTTTCAATCAGACTTGCATAACATAACATGAGTCCCATTTATAATACCGGGCACAATTCCAGACTCCGTGCTATACTACTGAGATTTTTTAAACCACAGTAACACTTGGCCCTTTGTCGTGGTGGCCCGGAGGTTTAAGACGCTGGCTTCTCATGCATGAGAGTGCAGGCTCGCAACCTACCAACGGCAAGTATTAATGTGACTTTTTCCGAGTTTATATGTACTTTCTAAGATTATTTAGACACCACTGACAAACGGTGAAGGAAAACATCGTGAGGAAACCTGGGCTTATAATTTCTAATTATAAGTTTGTAATCGTCAACCCGCATTGAGCAAGCGTGGTGATTAATGCTCAAACCTTCTCCGTGTGAGAAGAGGCTTTGCTCAACAGTGGGCATTCATAGGCTGTTGATGATGAATACTTTGCGCGACCCGGGAATCGAACCCGAGACCCCTTTGCCCGGCAATCGCACTTGCGACCACTCGGCCAACGAGGCAGTCAATCAGACTTACTTTCAACAATTTCAAAAATTAACACGATTGGTGCAGTGGCTAAGCAAACAGCTGCCATATAATGTGTCGTGGTTTCGATTTTTGCCCGAAGTAACTCCTTGTGTGATCCACAAATTATTGTTCCGTGTCTGTGTGTGATGTGTATGTGAACTTGTATGTTTGTACACACACGACAAAAGAGACAATCCTCTATTAAAAAAAAACTTTGGAAAGAGCAAATAGGTTCACTTTGGGACCTGATTTTTTTTATATGACATTCAAAATTGCCTATTAAATCTAACTGAAAAATGGTAACCTGCCTATCATTGAAATATCAACTCAATTTCTTTGCACATAAAGTTGATTTTACTACGAATGACATTAATAAATGCCTTCTTTACCTATCATTGGAAACTGTACTCAATTCCTTTGGTTTTAAAATTGAATGACGCTTATAAATACTTTCTGTACCTATCATTGGATTATATACTCAACTCCTATGCACTTAAAGTTAAATTTTCTACAAAAATAAGTAACATGAAATGGAAACTAACCCGCATTTTCCACCTTCTCATTCCAAACTACGACAAAACAAAAGGGATAGCTTAAAATATAGCGGTTTATCCCTGAAGGGGGAAGGCAGGGATGTACAAATACAATGTAACACCCACTTTTATCATATTTCGATAACTAATCTACTAAAAACTATTTCAATCTCTAATCTAACTAACTACTGAATTTCGAAAACTGATTCATTGATGGCTGACTAGGGAATCGAACTCCTAGATTGATAGTCTAGCCATCCTTACTAATTTGAAATCGAGATATTGTATTTTTCCATATCGAATCGAAGTAACTCTTGATTAACGATAATGGCGACATTTTTCCATTGACCACGCAAATAAAGTCGTAGACAACAACTTGTATAAAATAAAATAAAATATACAACTTACTCACGTAAAGTATTAGGGAAAAACTCGACAGTATTTGTATAGTAACTTTCGTGAGCCATACTAAATAAATTATTATGTTTTCGGCTTACTCACGTAATAATTTGACGAGGAACTCGATTATACTCGGAATTTTAATTCGATTCCAGATTTGACAATTTCAGTGTTGCAACGTTATAAGTACTAAATAGTGACTTTGCGAAATTATTCGATATGGAAATGCAATATTTCTGGATCGATTCTTCTCGTTTATAATTTTACTCTCGTAAACTAAGTATATCAGAAAATAAAATATTTCTGAACCGATAATTTAGTTTTGACGATTAATTAACGATCTGAGACTTTTCTTTTATAATTATGTGTGAAATAAATAAAAAAATGTAATCATGAAGGAACATGACAAATAAAACATATAGATGTATTATGGTAATAAGTTATTTTATAAATTGTCGCCGTCAGCGCTATCGCTATCCTGTCACTTTCTGTAACATTTATTATAAAACACACACCGATTGTTTATCGATTTTTGTGTGCATCACTACACTATTATATGTGGTATCATTATTTCACAAAATGACAGTAGCTATTGTCAAATCTGGAATCTAATTAAAATTCTGACTATAGTTTCAAGCCATGCTAGAGGCTCATATTCATGAGCAGCATTCCGCGACCCGCGACGCGGCGACTGTCGCTGCTACTGTAGCAGTACTCGTCAAATTATTACGTGAGTAAGCCGAAAACATAATAATTTAAAAACTCGACTGGTTTCAAGCCAAACCGGGACTCACATTCATGATTCGACAAAGCTTTTTAAAATTTAAAGTCACAACTTTTATTTCAAGTAATCCTTAAACAGGTAATGGAATTAAAAAATTGGTTGCCTGTAATGTCGGTATACGGGCGAAAGTTTTACGTGACAACGACTTTCGAGTGGTAAAATAATTTTAATGTGAATATTCATTCGTATAGTAGGAAGAAGGATGAAATAATTCACTTTTTATGTCTGTCTCTCTCGCTCTTAGGCGGGCTAACCATGCCCGAGTGGAAGGGACGCGTGCCTCTCACTCGCTCTCATTGTGAGCGCATAACGTGAGCGGAGCGTAACGCAGTTTCTTGAAGTGTCACCCGGCAAACCAATTTATAAGACGTTGTCACGTCAAAATTCTGCTTACATAAAATTCGAATCTACATTAACTAAAAATCGAGGGTTACCGGGGGTTTTTTTCGGGATTAGGAGTTTGAGGGTTTGGGATTGGGGAGATTGGGGTAGGACTCATCAGGGAAGGACGATCACTCACACGACGAAACACAACGCAAGCGTTGTTTCACGTCGGTTTTCTGCTCGGCCGTGGTATCACTCCGGTCGAGCCGACCCAGCAGTGTCGAAGCATGGCTCTCACACACTTAAGTCTCTCGTCTTGCGATAAATAACGGCCAAGTTTGCGGGCGATAATGGCAACCGCGGCGGTTGAAGGACCGCAGAAAACTGCGGTATCCTGACTTTTGAGAATACGGTAGTTGACAGGTAACCAAAATTCAATACTTTTATTGAAATGTTAAAGACGATACTTTTCTATGAATTTCGTATTGGAGCGCAACTTATGACGTCATCATATTTATGCGTCAAATAGCATAGGTACTTATTTCCTTAATTAACGAGAAAAAATCCAAAAGTAGTTAAATTGTCAAATCAATGGATGAGAGTATGATTATTTTTTAATTATTCATTGCATTGAAAAGTTGAAACATAGCATAACATCACGCCTTTTATCCCCCAAGGGGTAAACAGAGGTGCACACAGAAGTAACACCCACTTCACTATTTATGTTACGAGTCCCATGTTATACAGGGTGATTCTATTGCCATATACCAGGCACATTTCCAGACTCCAGACTTTTTTAAAAACCCAGTAATACTTTGCCCGACCCGGGAATCGAAGAGCCCTTGCCCGGTAGTCGCACTTGCGACCACTCGGCCAACCGATCGCCAACCGAAAAGTTGAAACTACTTATTTTGAACCTAGGAACCTAGTACTTTTTTAAAAAGAGTAACGAATGGAGTTTCTTGCTCGTTCTTCTCCATTCGAATCTACATTTTGGAATGAGCACCTAGCTTCACCTAGTTTCACTGACGGACTGACTGACAGACTATTATTTATTTTGTATTTGTTGACGTTTCAAAAGTACCAAACTATGGTTTAATTGAAATAAATGCTTTGACTTTGACTTTAGTCAATACAGTCTCCATTCTGCCACCGCGGCGGGCGCGAGAGAAGACCGCGCCGTAAGTCTTTAACCTTATACTTCTGTCCACGTGAGTAAGCCGTATATATTTTAATTAATATATAATTACGTTTTACGATAGTCATTACTAGTGATCGGAAAAAGGTGAGCTAATTTACCTAAACTTCAAGGAACAGAAACAAAAAGTGGAGACTTCTTTACTACAACATTTTTTTCGAGAAAGTTCCGGTTCCAGTTTCGGGATATTTATATATTACATCTATATATATAAAAGAAAGTCGTGTTAGTTACACAATTTATAACTCAAGAACGGCAGAATAGATTTGGCTTAAAATTGGTAGGGAGGTAGCTTAGAGCCAGGAGACCGACATAGGATACTTTTTAACCAATTTTTATTTTTTACTTTTTACCGAAAATCACGAACGGGGACGGGAAAAAATGGGATTACGCGTACGAAGTCGCGGGCAGAAGCTAGTTTAATATAATTGTTATTAATACAGAAAACAATTGATTTCGTTTCGTGATTTTATTTCTTAAATTTAACACAAAACCAAACAAAATTAAAACTTTTATTGTTTTCAACAATAAATATTTTAGGATGTAGGTAAGAAAGAGCATAAAATAAAATTACTCAACACTAAAATTAACAAAAACCTAAAATCGTGACAAAAGTTGCGGTTTCTTTCTAGCTTTTGTTATCAATAACATAATTTTAAATTTTAGTGTGGTGCAACGTTATTTTAAAAGAAAAAAAAATATATAAATATCCCGAAACTGGAACCGGAACTTTCCCGAAAGAACTGTTGTAGTAAGGAAGTCTCCACTTTTTGTTTTTGTTCCTTGAAGTTTAGGTAAATCAGCTCACCTTTTTCCGATCACAGGGCGCTTACTCTTGAAACCAATCTCAATGTCAATGCAATTTCAATCCAATAAAATCTCAATAATTATTCAATGTCAACACTATACAACCACAATCGTAGGTGTTACAATAGCATTCAGAGTACGGAATATAAAGACAAACTCAATACCATTTAGTTCATTCAATATCCACGCAATATGAACGCAATGGGCGCTAGTATTGCAACTCAAGAGTACGAAATTTCACAATACCAATGTCGATCGATCGGAATTGGATTCAAGAGTAAGCCCCCTGGTCATTACACAAGAATTACTCACACTGATTCCATATTTCGCGTTCCCGATACTCCATCGCAGTCCGGCTAGTTCCGCCGCGTATGCAAACTGTTGCAGGCTGTCCCTTAGTAGGAGGACCCATACTGATGTTAGGTTGCAGCTTAGGGGATCGGCGTACGCTAGGGGACTGGAAGGAAACATATAAATTTAATCTTACTAATATTATAAATGCCTGTGTGTATATTTGTTACTACAATACTGTAGTTGACAATTTTCATAAAGATAAGGAATTAAATGTTTCTTTTACGTAACAATAATTAGTCAAATTCCAAGTCCAAGTCCAACCAGTCAAATTCAATACTTTTATCTAAACGTCAAAAACGATACTGTTCTATGAACTTTGTACGAAATACCATCTAATGACACATAATAGCACACTTATATCTAAAAAATATGCTAGAATAAATTCTTCTCGCTCGACTGCACGTTTGGCGCGGTAGTTGAGCAACTGACTGCCGCGCAACGTGTCGCGGGTTCGATTCCCGCACGGAAGAACTCTGTGTGATTCACAGATAGTTGTTCCGTGTCTGGGTGTGATATGTATGTGAACCTGTATGTTTATAAACGCACCCACGACACAGGAGAAAATCCCAGAGCGGGGCAACGTTTAAAAAAATCCACGCGCGCCTCAAAGAGCCATCATACCACCACGAATGGGGCCCAATAGGGCTGATACCAATACGGAGCCGCGGAAAACTTAACAGGTTGCCGGGGCTCCGGCTCGAAGTGCCGAAGTAGGGACGGGGTGATTTTTAGTCAGTAAGAGTCTGACACTCCCTCCCGCCTCACCCAGGCGGGAGCAGTAAGTCGATGATTTTCCCCCCTTAAAAAAAGACAAGCGACATATTTCATACCTGACTAAATCGAAGGTCATCACAGCTTTCGGCAAATGGAATTCGTTGTCTTTTTTGAACCATAACCTCATTAACGGGGTGTCCTGAAAGAAATGGTAATACTTAACCTGATGAAAATTGTTATACCTGATAAATTTGTTCATACTAGTCTCTTAACTTTTGAAATAAGGTCTATAATGTAGTTCGCGGTCACCGGTGACCGCTTGTAACACCCACTTTTTACTATATATGTTAGAGTCCCATGTAATAGGGGTGAGCCTATTGCCATATACCGGGCACAATTCCAGACTTCATGCTACTACTAAGAATTTTTTTTAAATCCATTAATACTTTGCCCGACCCGGGAATCGAACCCGAGACTCCTTGCCCGGCAGTCACACTTGCGATCACTCGGCTAACAAGGCACTCGAAAGAAATCTAAATTAATTTCACAAAAGGTGGGGAAAATACAGTAAAATATATTGTCAAAAGGAGATCATTTAGGGTTCCATACATTTTTGACCCTTGAAAGTGCCCGCATACGCACCATTTTTTCCAAATCTTTTTAAAAATCACCAATTCACTATAATTACATATCACTTACCTTTATAACAGCGGGTGCTATAGAGTCAGCGGTGCTGTCCTCTCCCTTCTCCAAAGTAAGTCGTGATGGTATGAACTCGTTCGGTGGCGGTAGGTGCAACTCTTTCGTTGGCTGTACCGACTTCCATTCCTGGGTAAGACAGAATTGCAATTTAGTTTTTTTACGTTTACAAACATACAAGTTCACATACACATCACACACAGACCCGTAACAACAATCTGTAGATCACATAAACAGTTGTTCTGTGCGGGAATCGAAACCGTGACACGTTATGTGGCAGCCAGTTGCCCAGCCACCACGTCAACCTTCCAGTCAAAAGTACTGAACAGTATGTATTATAGCCAAGTAAAATATATTTATCGCTACCACTACTTTTCCCATTGGGCGTGAACTTTTTTTTTACATTTTATAGGTCGACCTTTGATTGACCACCATCTCGCCTGATGGTAAGCGATGATGTGGCCGACGATGGAGCACGCCTACCTATGAGCACCCTGTTCACTCGGGACTTGAAGACACCCAAGTCATATTTGACGGGAAACACAGCCTCTGGCAAGGAATTCCATTCCTTAGCGGTTCGCGTGAGGAAGCTTGACGCGAAACGATTCGTGGGAATGGGTGGAATGTCTTATACACGTACTAACTAACATTAGACAGAGAACGGCTAGCAGGGTTTTTTTTTTAAGGGGGGAAAATCATCGAATGACTGCTCCCGCCTGGGTGAGGCGGGAGGGAGTGTCAGACTCTTAACCCGTCCGGATTAAATAATAGGGTACTTCTTATCCCGGAAAAATTTGATATTCTCGAGGGAAAACGAAAGTATTGGTATAGATGGCGCTGTGTGTATTGGTATATGTCACATAGGCTACTTTTTATCCTTTTGTGACGTTAGCGAAGCCGCGGGTAAAAGCTAGTAGGCTATAAAACGTGAAGTAGGTAGTATATATATAGATAAAGTATTTACCTGTATTTTAGCATCTTCGATGTCTTCCTGTAGATATTTAGTACCATACCAGGGCTCTGTCATCGTACATTTGTCACCGAATACTCTGTAACGAAGATTTTACAGTAAGGACTCGTCAAGCAATCAGCCACACTTTGTCCACAGATCGTTAAACATGCAAAATTAAATAAATTTATATGCTATATAAACTAAAAATCGCGTGTTACTCTCGTGAATATACTGAGAAAAGCTCTACTAGTTTCGAACCACAGAGGGGTTCTTCCTCATGAGCAGCGTGCCCGGTCGCGGCGATGGTGCGCATCCTACTGGCTAGCGTTGACGATCGCATCGGTGTTGCTACCTGCGTATCTATGTTCGAAACTGTTCGAAGATTTTCTCAGTATATTCACGTGAGTAACCCGTGATTTTTTAGTTAATTTACTATGGTTATTATAAATATATTTATATGGTAACTAAAAATCGCGGGTTATTTCGACTGCGAAAGCTGCTCATGGGGAAGAACCCCTCTCCATGTCTGTGTGTGACGTGTATGTGTACTTGTGTGTTTATACACACACGACACAGGAGACAATCCTTTTTTTTTAAGTGGGGAAAATCGTCCAATGACTTCTCCCGCCTTGGGTTAGCGAGAGGGAGTGTGAGACTCTTACTGACTAAAAACCACCCCGTTCCTTCTCCTGCACGTCGAGCCGGAGCCCCGGCAACCCGTCAGGCGTTCCGCGGCTCCGTATCGGGTATCAGCCCTACTGGGCCCCATCTGTGGTGGTCTGATGGCTCTTTGAGGCGCGCGCGGAACGTTCCGCGCCGTACGCACCAGACCCGAGCGTACGGCGCCGAGCGTTCCGTGCGCGCCTCAAGGAGCCATCACAGCACCACGGATGCGGGTAATTAGTTCTCCGGTAACCCCACTCACACGACGAAACACAATGCTGTGGTGTTTCACTATCGAGCCGGCCCAGCAATACCGAAGCATGGCGAGCTCACACTTCACTTTCATAGTTAGTTTAATTCACATAACTATATTAATACTAAATTAACTAAAATCGCGGGTTACTCACGTGAATATACTGAGAAAAGCTCTACTAGTTTCGAACCACAGAGGGGTTTTTCCTCATGAGCAGCGTGCGCGGTCGCGGCGATGTCACGCAGCCTACTCTAGTCTAGTACTTTTCTCAGTATATTCACGTGAGTAACCCGCGATTATTAGTTAATTTAGTTCGTCTCACGATAGTTATTATAAAATTATATTAATACTCACTTGGCAACAATCCCGACGCGTACGTTCTCCGGTGTAAGCAGAGACAGTAGGTTATCTATCAACTCCGGCTTCCACTCCGTCATCACGTAGTACGCACACAGGACATCCTCCATTGGAAATTCCTGGAATATATTTTTTTATTTTTTAACAAAGCGTTGCCCCACACTAGAATTTCGTGATCGAGAAATGCGTCGTGTGTGCGTTTACAAACATAGAATATCACATAAACATGACAAACCCGGAACTACAATTTGTGGTTCACACAAATAGTTTATGCTGTGAGACTGTGGAATTCTCTGCCGCCTAACATTCGAGACGCTAAATCTATCGCTCTCTTTCAAAAACTAATTAAGGACCATTACCTTTCTTCATGAGTACTGATACGTTTTTTTTCTATGTGTGTATTTTATTTATTATTTATTTATTTATCATTTCATGTACCCACACCATACAGAAAATATTATAAGACACAACACATTATAGGTAAGCATGAGGTACATAGGTACTGCATATCCCTTAAGGGATTTTTTCCTGCAGACCTGCGACAGGAAAAGGAATATAAACATAAGACATAAGACACAGTGTAAATACATGCAACGAATACAAAACAAAATAAAATTAATGAAAGAACTTAAAACTAGAATGACCGTAGTATAAGAATAAAATATAAACTTAAGCGAATTATAACAAACATATTTTATTTATTGTTATTATTATATATTAAGTATTTATATTTATACTATATTTATCTATACTTATAATAAATCTGTAGAGAGGTCAATTCTGTACATAAAATATATTAAAAAATAACTATCAAGGGGTGGTTAGGGATCGCTACTGATGCCAAAAATGCAATCAGTAAAATTTTTGTCTGTCTGTCTGTCTGTCTGTATGTTCGATATGGAAACAAAAACTACTCGATGGATTTTAACGAAATTTGGCACAATTATTCTTCATACTCTTGGGCAGGTTATAGTATACTTTTCATTACGCTACGATCAATAGGAGCAGAGCAGTGAAGGGAAATATTGGGAAAACGGGAGAAGTTACTCCATTTTTTAAGCTTCCGTCGCGTGTGCTGGCTTATAGGTTAAAGCTACGTATAAATCATATATAACGGAAATATTCTCCTTAAAATTATATAAAAAATATTCCTCGACAGCATATGTCTATCTTTTATGGTTGACTCACAATAACACGTGAAACTCCAGATAGCTTAGCAATTCGGTGATTTCTGATTGTATTTGTCTACTCTAACGTTTACAATACTCATTCATAGACTTTACGCTGTAACTGAAAGGCCAATGGTTGAAATTAGCTTGACTCGATATTATAAATGAAAATATGTGAGTTTATGTGTATGTTTGTTACTCAGTCATATTAAAACGACTGAAGTGACCGGAATGAAATTCGGAACAGAGGTAGATTATGGTCTGAAGTAATACATAGGCATTTTACCCCTGGGATCGCGGGCGAAGCCGCTGGCAGAAGCTAGTTTATAATATAGTTATTATTTGGCTTTATTTTTTTATACATATTTCTTATTTTTCTGTTACACACTGTGTCTTTTGTTTTAATTACATTTCCTGTCTCAGGTCTACTGGAAGAAATTCCAACAGGAATAAGTAGCACCTTTGTAGGTACTCTTATTTTATATATGTGTTATCCTCTGTGCTGTTAGTGTGTACATAAATTATTAAATAAATAAATAGTTTAAAAATATCCCTTTCAGTAACTGATTTTATGACAGTTCGAAAAAAGTATTGAATTTGACTATTTGACGAGTACCCGATTAGTACTAATAATACTACTTAAAAGTTAAATAGTTAAATATTAAAAACAAACCTGCAACAGATGTACGTGTCCAGTGACGACGCCGCGCGGTTCCATGGCGTCTTTGAACCTGAACTCCAGCGCCATCAGGTCCCTCTGCTCCTCCCACACCCAAAGCTTCGGACCTTCCGCTTTTAACATTGATATGTACTGTAAGTAAATAGATGTCATATTTAAATATCAATATTTATACATATGGTCAAAGTATTACTGGGCTTTTAAAAATTCTCAGTAGTAGCACGGAGTCTGGAATTATGCTCGGTATATTGTAATAGGCTTACCCTATATAACATGGGACTCATAACATAAATAGTGAAAAGTGGATGTTACATTGTACAGTGGCATAATGTACACCTCTGTGTACCGCTTCGGGGATAAAAGGCGTGATGTTATACATCGCAGTCGCGAAGAACCTAACAGGTAACCGGGGCTCCGGCTCGACGTGCAGGAGAAGGAACGGGGTGGTTTTTAGTCAGTAAGAGTCTGACACTCCCTTCCGCCTCACCCAGGCGGGAGCAGTCATTCGATGATTTTCCCCCCTTAAAAAAAATACATCGCAGTCGATTCGCTAATTGGCTGATCAAAAACAGAAACTAATGGAGTTTCTTAGTCGTTCTCCATTTGAATCTACATTTTGGAACGAGCGCCTAGCTTCACTGACGGACAGACTGACAAACTGTTATTCATTTTGTATATGTTGATGTTTCATAACATATAACATAACAACACGCCTTTTATCCCCGAAGGGATAGGCATGGGTGCACAATACGGCATTAATGCCACACCCACTTTTCACTATTTATGTTATGAGTACCCCCATGTAATAGGGGGTGACCCTTTTGCCATATATTGGGCACAATTGAAATGAAATGAAATGAAATAAGTTTATTCGGCATAAGACATGCACGCCAGAAAAGACATATAAATATAAAAAAAGCATAAAAACAGAAAAATTAAAAGATAAAAGTTAAATTATAAAACTAAAACTAAAACTAGAACTAAAACAAGCCAATAAGCCATTCAAGTGCGCGGTGTTGGCGGACATGTCCAATCCGAACGGGTCACCAACTCAGCATAAAGCTGGGCACAATGAGCACCCAACACTGATTTTCAGTTGGCAGAGCAAATATTCCAGACTCCGTGCTACTACTGAGAATTGTTCAAAAAACCCAGTAATATTTGCGCGACCCGAGAATCGATCCTGAGACCCCTTGCCCGGCAGTCGCACTTGCGACCGCTCGGCCAACGAGGCAGTCAAAAACAAGAAAGACCAAGAATAAGTATAAACGAACACAGAACCTCCCTGAATGACAAATCGGTTAACCAACATACCTGGAACACCAGTTTAATGATATCATCGATGTGAGTGACTCCTTCCTCCGTGAGGTCCACTTGTACTCCGAAGAACCCGAACCCTCTCGCGCCAATACGAGTACCGCCTACTAAACTGTAAAATAATAATCTATATTAATAATTTGGTCAAGGGGTACGGTAGACTCGATCGAAACATTACCTGAATAACAAAACATAAAAAAATATCGATTTCGAGTCGACAATATTAACATAACATCACGCCTTTTATCCCCGAAGGGGTACGCAGAGGTGTAAATTATGCCACTGTACAATGTAACACCCACTTTTCACTATTTATGTTATGAGTCCCATGTAATAGGGGGTGAGCCTATTGCCATATACCGGGCACAATTCCAGACTCCGTGCTACTACTGAAAATTTATAAAAACCCAGTAGTACTTCGGCCGACCCGGGAATCGAACCCGAGACCCCTTGACCGGCAGTCGCACTTGCAACCACTCGGCCAACGAGGCAGTCGACAATATATATCCGCAAAATTCGGATTACAAAGATTATTTCGTTTTATTAATTAATTTTAATGACACTGACAGACAAACCGCCGTCGCCATTTTGAGTAGACAATAGACGTTCCGTTTCATACTAGCTCTCAAATACGCCTCGCCAATCAACACGTTGTCGCGTCAAAATAGTATAAATTAACAAGAAATATAAATGATTTCACGCGAACGAAGTCGCGGGTAACATCTAGTAATATAATATTAATGCTACATTAAATTAGCAATAGGCTCACCCCCTATTACATGGGACTCATAATATAAATAGTGAAAAGTGGGTGTTATATTGTACAGTGGTATAATGTGCACCTCTGCCTACCCCTTCGGAGGTAAAAGGCGTGACGTTATGTTATGTTATGTTTATTAAATTTATATTTAACTAGCTTCTGCCCGCGACTTCGTACACGCAATCCCGTTTTCTCCCGTTTCCGTAGAAATTCACAGGACTTTTTTCTGTCATAAGAACCTTCTCTTGACAATAACAAACACAACAAAATAAAATCAGCCAAATCGATCTAGCCGTTGTCAAGTTATGGCGTGACAACGGGAAACGGGTATCATTTTTATATAGCGGACCGAACAGACGTTGTCCTGCATATCCACTTGAATGTATAAACAAAAATTCATTCAATAACCTAAACATCGACTGCAGCGCCATCTGCCTTAACGAGTAGACGGATCACCTGATGGTAAGCAATGGTCATCCCCCATGGATATCCGCAACGATTTTTTTTAAGGGGGGAAAATCATCGAATGACTGCTCCCGCCTGGGTTAGGCGGAAGGGAGTGTCAGACTCTTACTGACTAAAAACCACCCCGTTCCTTCTCCTGCACGTCGAGCCGGAGCCCCGGTTACCCGTTAGGTTCTCCGCGACACCCGCAACACTAGAGTCGCTGTAACATTATCATACAGTATTGTAACTCGTCTGACACTCCGTCCCGCCTTACCGGGGCGGGAGAAGCCATTCGATGATTTTACCCCCTTAAAAAAACAAAAAGCTTACAAGTTCCTTAATTAAGGGAGTATTTTCTTTAAGGTTACTTACCTATTACACCACCCTCGTTCTTTGAGGGCTGACAGTAGACTGCCGGGTCCCTCGTGGCCTAGTAGGTGGGATAGATAGTGCCCGGGCTGGGAACAAAATATTACAAATTAACCAATAATGAACATCCTTACTTATATTATAAATCGGAAAGTGAATTTGTTTGTTTCACTTTAAAGCCGTAACTACTAAACCGATTGCTTTGAAATTTTGCAGACGTAAACTTAGAAGTCCGGATTAAATAATAGGGTACTTTTTTTTGAAAAATTTGATATTCCCGAGGGAAAACGAAAGTATTGGTATAGATGGCGCTGTGTGTATTGGTATATGTCACATGTCACATTGGCTTTTTATCCTTTTGTGACGCGAGCGAAGCCGCGGGTAAAAGCTAGTAGGTTATATAATGTATTCGAGATAATTATACTGCCTCGTTTGCCGAGTGCTTGCAAGTACCACTACCGGGTAAGGGGTCTCGTGTTGGATTGTGGAGATAGATAGTAATTGGGTCTCCGGTAACCCCACTCATACGACGTTTCACGTCGGTTTTCTGTGAGATCTGCGTTCCAGCATACCACGGGTTATGCTCAAACCTTCTCCGTTTGAGAAGATCAGCAGTGGCCACATACTACCTCGTTTGCCGAGTGCTTCCAAGTGCGACTGCCGGGCAAGGGGTCTTGGATTCAATTCCCGGATCGGGCAAAGTATTACTGGGCTAGTAAGAAATTCTCAGTGGCAGCACGGAGTCTGAAATTGTGCTCGGTATATGGCAGTCGGGTCACCCCCTATTACATGGGACTCATAACAAATAGTCAAAAGTGGGTGTTACATTGTACAGTGGCACTAAGTGCCGTAAAGTGCACCTCTGCCTACCCCTTTGGGAATAATTCTAATTTATTTAATATACCCATTATACTAACTCCACTTTTATAATGTTTCCTAGTATCCGGTATTGGGAAGTCTATAGACAACGACCGCAGATCTTTGACCGGAAAACAGTATGCTCGTTTCCTCCTCAGTTCCGGCGGAAACGGGTGTTCCGGCCAGGAGGGGGGAGTGACGGACGTGTCTTGAACCTCCGAGAATAACGGCACTACTATTGCTTCTAGGTCATCTAAAGATTCTGTAAAAAATTAACAATAATTAAAGTTATTCAAAATTCTCAGTAGTAGCACGGAGTCAGGAATTGTGCCCGGTATATGACAATAGGCTCAACCCCTATTACATGGGACTCATAACATAAATAGTTAAAAGTGGGTGTTACATTGTACAGTGGCATTAAGTGCCGTAATGTTAATGTGCACCTCTGCCTACCCCGTCGGGGATAAAAGGCGTGATGTTATGTTATGTTATGTAATTAATGTGGTGGTCATAAAATAAATTAATGAAAGTGTTAATATATTGAGAAAAGCTCTACTAGTTTCGAACCACAGAGGGGTTCTTCCTCATGAGCAGCGTGCGCGGTCGCGTCTATGTCTACAGTCTACTGGCTAGCGTTGGCGCTCTCATAGATGTTGCTATACTTGCGCCTTGAGCCTACCGCGCCCTCTGCCGGACACCACGAGCGTTTGCTTCCAACTCCGGTGGCGGCGCATTGGACGATGTTGAAGCGCACGGTACGTAACCAGCGGCGCGGGTAGTAGGTTCGATTCCGGGTTCGGCACAAAGTCAGTGCTATATATAACACTTACTGTGTCACACTCCAGCAGCTGTAGCCAAATGCCATTTAGCGCTTGTCTACATGTAGAATACAAAACTAAATTATATGGGATTGACGTAAATTTTGACACTTGTCAATGTCATCCCAATACATTTTGATTTCTACTCTCACTGTAGACAAGCGCTAAGGTGGCGTTTGGCTAAAGGCACAGACTAGAGACGCTGCGGATCGACGTTGACTCCAAGCTCGGCTTCCACGAGGAAGCAGGCACGCTGCTCATGAGGAAGAACCCCTCTGTGGTTTGAAACTCGCGATTTTTAGTTAATTAAGTATATCTCAACGATAGTTATTATAAAAACAATGAAAGTGTGATTAATTTTTATTATTTTATTATATTGAAAAGTCGGAATAATTTATTTTTGATTAACCCGTCGAGCGTCCGCGTTCCTTATGCATTTCCTTAACCTTATGCATGCAAGAAAATGCATTTATTTGGCCATTGGCACACGAAAACGAAGATCATTACAATAGAAATAAAACAAATATAGTCAAAATAAAAACAAAACATTAATAATAGATTTTATAAAAGAGAAAGCAGCATGGAGCATTTTTTCTTATGATCCACCGGGTGCTCATAAGGACGCTCGACGTCATAGCATAGCGCTCTATTTTATTACCATTTATAAGACCTGTACGCACTATGTTAACAAATAAAAGTGATTATATTTACCTTTCCCCAAAACGACAAGCGTCATTATGTTAGCCGAGTACCATTTTTCATGAAACTTCAGCAACTCTTTTCTGACGTCTATGCCTTTTGATTTCGGTATCGTTTCTAGGGTCTCTCTGTTACCTGTCAAATAAAAGATTGATAAATGCTTGATTGATACATTAATGATTGATGATTATTGATTTTTTATAGCACAAGCCGATAAACGAGCAGACGGATCAACTGATGGTAAGTAATCGGCGTCGCCCATGGACACCTGGAACACCAGAGGCGTTACAGGTCTGTTACCGGCCTTTTGGGGATTAGGAGTTTGAGGATCGTTGGGAATTCAGGGATTGGGGGAAGAGCATAAAGCAAGCGTTGCTTCACGTCAGTTTTCTGCTCGGCCGTGGTATCACTCTGTTCGAGCCGGCCCATTCGTGCCGAAGCATAGCTCTCACACACTTAATTGATTGATAGATTAATGCTTGATTGATAGATTAATGCCTGATTGATAGATTAATGCTTGATTGATAGATTGATGCTTGATTGATACATTAACCTGGGCTTATAATTTCTAATTATAAGTCTGAAATCGCCAACCCGCATTGAGCAAGCGTGGTGATTAATGCTCGAACCTTCTCCGTTTAAGAAGATGCCTTCGGTCAGCAGTGGGCACTTATAAGGCTGTTGATGTGTGTCAGACTCACCTGTACCAAACTTGTGGAACGGATGTGTTGGTGACGCAGTGCTCTTGTTGAGCTGGTCCAGTCTCCAGGTGTCTGAGGACGTATTCTTCTCATGTTCCAAGTGCACAGCGCTCAGCTCACGACCTGTCGCCGACTCCGTGAACAGGGGAGATATGAAGAATTGGGCGAAACTGGAACATAATATAAATAAGTATATATAATTGTTTTTATGGTACAAGCAGGCAAAGCAGGCGGATCACCTGATGGTAAGCAATCGGGCGGCGTCGTCCATGGACACCTGGAACACTAGAGGCGTTACAAATGCGTTACCGACCATTTGGGAATTATAAGTTTGAGAATAGGGTAGATGACTAATTTTTAATTTAATGTCCGTCTGGTAGATTATTTAAAAACATTACACCTGTATTTTTTATTTTCTTACGGAAACGAATAGTTTCGAAGATATATTGATTTGAAATGTAGCGTGACGTCACTTCACATGACGTACATTTTATACGTAGAAATTACGTTTTTACTCCAACTCCTAAACTTTTATAATACAACAAAATAAAAAAACACGTGTATAATATTTTTTCATTACCTAACTGACAGACTAATTACATTTTCAATTTTCATACCCTGTCAACATCCCTATTGTAGGGGGGAATTGAGTCTCGGGTAACCTCACTCACACGACGTGATACAACGCAAGCATTGTTTCACTATGGTTGTCTGCTCAGCCGTGGTATCACTCTGGTCGAGTCAATCATGCACCAATGTCGTGATGACCCGGAGGAGGTTATGACGCCTACCAACGGCAAGTACCAATGTGACTTTTTCTGAGTTCTATGTACTTTCTAAGATTATCTAGACACCACTCACAAACGGTTATAATTTCTAATTATAAGTTTGTAATCGCCAACCCGCATTGAGCAAGCGTGGTGATTAATGCTCTCACACACTTGAAACTATAATTATGCCTTAAAATTGTATTCCAGGAGGGGTATTACGTAAATGAATACACTCACATATCTAAAGCCTTATTCAGATGTTCAGGTAGCACATCAAAATAGTATGTCGTGTGGTCTGATGACGTCGACGCGTTGGACGAACCGCCGTGTTCGGATAGGAACTTATTATATTCGTTCTCCTGTAAAATATATACAAAATTGAGTACTTTCCTTAATACTTACTAATATTATAAATCGGAAAGTGAGTTTGTTTGTTTGTTCCACTTTAACGCCGTAACTACTAAACCGATTGCTTTGAAATTTTGCAGACGTAAAGTTAGAAGTCCGGATTAAATAATAGGGTACTTTTTATCCCTGAAAAAATTGATATTCCCGAGGGAAAACAAAAGTATTGGTATAGATGGCGCTGTGTGTATTGGTATATGTTACATTGGCTTTTATCATTTTGAGACGCGAGCGAAGCCGCGGGTAATAGCTAGTCAAAAATAAATTACTTCGACCGTTCAATACAATAAAATAACATGAACAGTAGTAGTAGGAGTGTGGAATTGTGCCCGGTATATCGCAATAGGCTCACCCCCTACTACATGGGACTCATAACATAAATAATGAAAAGTGGATGTTTACATTGTACAGTGGCATTAAGTGCTGCAATGTGCACCTCTGCCTACACCTTCGGGGATAAAAAGGTGTGATGTTATGTATAAATCAATAGTTATAGTTAATTATAAACATAATTTGACATTAAATTATTATGTTTTCGGCTTACTCACGTAATAATTTGACGAGGAACTCGACTAGTTTCAAGCCATGCCAGAGGCTCATATTCATGAACAGCGTTCCGCGACTCGCGACGCGGTGACTGTCGACTTATTACGTGAGTAGGTCGAAAACATAATAATTTATTTAGTGTGTCTTACGAAAGTTACAATACATAATTCGACATACCTCAGGATATTTCTTAGTGCCTAGAAACAGCATGTGTTCACAGAAATGTGCTAGGCCTGGCAACTCTTCGGGGTCACTTAGGTATCCTGAAAAGACAAGGTATTGGCTATGCGCAAAGCGAGTAGTGGCGGACAAATAACGACCGCAGCGCACAACGCGGCAGAATTTGGAAACAAATGCGGATGATGCAAACCCGGTTCTATTATCATATTAATTTTACAGTAAAACTATTGAATAAATTGCACTTAAATAATGTCAACAATACTATTTTAATCTTTGGTTTTATTTATATTTGCAAAGAAAATTATAATGTTTACATTGTTATTATTTGACAGCTTCCGCAAATGTTGTAAACGCTACGCGTCGCCACCGTCGCGCCCATAGCCAATAAATATAATATGTCCGGTTTAGGTAATGTATTATAGAATAGTAGGGCAAATGAAATGATATTTTTAATTATTTTCGCTTTCCGTCTGGATGCTTACTCTTAAATCAAATTTCGATCGATCGATATTTTTTTTTAATCTGTTTTTTAATCGATCGATATTGGTTTTGTAAAATTTCGTACTCTCGAGTTGCAACACTAGCGCCCCTTACATCCGTATTGCGTGGATATTCATCATCATCAACAGCCTATAAATGCCCACTGCTGAGCAAAGCCTCTTCTCACACGGAGAAGGTTAGAGCATTGATCAAAAAAGGCATGGATATTGAATGAACTAAATGGTATTGAGTTTGTCTTTATATTCCGTACTCTGAATGCTACGCTATTTTTTAACAGCTACGATAGGGTTTGTATACTTTTGACATACAATAATTATTGAGATTTTATTGGATTTGACATTGAGATTGCATTCAAGAGTAAGCACCCTGATCGCAAGAGCCACGGCCGATCCGAACATTATCTCGGTTTCGATTCCCGGGCCGTAGAACCTCCGATCCTTTCTTCTGCCTAGGTTATAGTTGTAAAAAGGGTGATATTATGTTAAAACTCACCGACATTAACATCTAAAGCTGCCGCTGACTTGTCTGTGCTCAAATCGCTAACCAACATCACTCGTAAACGGTTTGACAGCACTAGGCCTCTGAAAACAAACTTTATTTATTAGTAAACTAGCTTTTACCCGCGGCTTCGCTCGCGTCACAAAAGGATAAAAAGTAGCCTATGTGACATATACCAATACACACAGCGCCATCTATACCAACACTTTTGTTTTCCCTCGGGAATATCACATTTTTCCGGGATAAAAAGTACCCTATTATTTAATCCGGACTTCTATCTTTACGTCTGTAAAAATTCTAAGCAATCGGTTGAGTAGTTACGGCGTGAAAGCGGAACAAACAAACAAACAAACTCACTTTCCGATTTATAATATTATATTAGTAAGGATTGTATACCTACTCATATTTTTTACTGGGACAAGCCCGCCACAACCTCCAAAAACCACTGCAATTCGTGTGCCGGGTCTACAGTAGATACAACCATGAAAACACCGGAACACTGAAGTCCGGCGCGTCCCAGGGACATGAGTAACTGTCTTGGTTCCCGCAACGACGTGAATCAGAAGATATTATAAGAGGAGAAGAAAAAAAAACGATAGTTTCCACTTCCCTTGGTGAATTACTACTGGAGACAGAATGAATTAAGCCTAAATGCACAAAAATACTTATATTATAAACTTTTCTACAATTTTATTATATGTATAGACTAGCTTCTGCCAGTTGCTTCGCCCGCTTCCCATGGGTAAAAAGGCTATGTGTTACTCCAAACTATATTGTACCTTCAGTTCCAAATTTCATCCCTATCCCTTCAGCCGTTGATGCATGACTGAGTAACATACATACATATTTTCACATGTATAATATCGTGTCAAAGTTACAGCATAAAGTCCACAGCGGTCAACCTAACATTCGACAAACTTATATTTGCGTTTGGTACAGTAACTGTGAGTAGGGATCGAGGTGCACAATTAAGTTTGTTTTTTCGTGTGTATACTTTTACGGGATAAAAAGTACCCAGTGTTGTGCCCAGGATATTAAAGTATAATCATACCAAGTTTCATCGTGATCGGGCCGGTAGTTTTTGCGTGATGCGTGAACATACAGACAGACAGACAGACAAAAAGTGCTTTTATCACATTTTTGGGCACGGTGTCTATTTAGTAACATTATAGTAGGTACTATATTTTTTTTTTATTTTCAATGTACAGAATTTTGCGGTTGTATAGTTTTATTACATTGACGTGATCTTTTAAGTGGAGCTAGTTGAAGGGATGGAAAGTGGCATAACTTATACTTTTTGTCTCTTTCTAACCGTCCATTTCCGTAAAATGCGAGATGGAAGTTTGTATGGAGCATTTAATAATATTCAAAGTAGAAAGCTAACAATTAGTATGCGGACTATTTGGTGGTGAATGAAGAATTGTGCATATTTTTTTGTATAGGGTTTAGGCCTTAAAATATCCCGATATCATCAATAGGAGCTGAGCAGAGCGGGTGAAACCGCGGGGAAGTAGATTTTTTTATGGCATAAGCCGGTAAACGAGCAGACGGATCACCTGATGGTAAGCAATCGGCGTCGCCCATAGACATGTGAAACACCAGAAGCGTTCGAAGTGCGTTACCAGCCTTTTGGGGATTAGGAGTTTGAGGATCGTTGGGGATTCAGGGATTGGGGGGATTGGGGGGATTGGGGGGATTGGGGGGATTGGGGGGATTGGGGGGATTGGGGGGATTGGGGGGATTGGGGGGATTGGAGAGATTGGGGAAGGGGAGAGTAATTAGGCCTAGATAGTCAGAAGATACTAGAAAAGAATAAAAATATTACCTGTAATTTCTTTTATCCTCTGGCGATTTGATGATGTTGTCATATCGTTTGACTACGCCAGGGCCGGTGGGCCCTCCGCCGGGCCCCGCGGACTGCAGCCCCGGGGACCCGGGCGGGGTAGGCACTGACCCATCTTTGGGTGAATACTGCGACGACATATTTGAGAAATTCTTTTTACTACCACCGTATCTGCAAACAAAAAGATATTTCGTGAGATATTGTCTAAAAATATTTGAGCCCTGAGAAGTATGTAATCGACTGAAAAATAGTGTTATTAGAGAAATGTGTGGATTTTTTAAGGGGGGTAAATCATCGAATTACTTCTCCTGCCTGGGTGAGGCGGGAGGGAGTGTCAGACTCTTACTGACTAAAAACCACCCCGCTCCTTCTCCTGCACTTCGAGCCAGAGCCCCGGTGACCCGTTAGGTTCTCCGCGACTCCCCCCCATCCGTGGTGGTCTGATGGCGTTTTGTGACGCGCGGAACACCACGCGCCGTAAAAAATGTGTGGATTGAAAGATGATGTAGTGACAAGGATTGAAAAGAGATGTTTGGGCATGTAGAAAGGATAGATGAAAGTAGAGTAACGAAAGAAGTATACAGAGCGAATAGGTAGAGGGCGAGCTAGACGGGCATATGCTGACCAGATTGGCGATATATTAAAGGGCCAAATAGGGTAGATGCCTAATTTTTATTTTCATATCCGTCTGGTAGATTATTTTAAATCATTAGACACGTATTTTTTTATTTTCTTACAGAAACGAATAGTTTCGAAGATATATTGATTTGAAATGTCGCGTGACGTCACTTCTATGTACATTTTATACGTAGAAATGACGTTTTAGCCCCCACTCCTAAACTTTGATTTGTTTAAGTATTGTTCTATTAAGTATACGACAAAATAAAAAAATACGTGTCTAATATTTTTTTATTACCAAAGTTACAGACTACATTTTTAATTTCCATACCCTGTCATCATCCCAATTAAAAGTACCCTTAACCGACGACTGTCACTTTTTACAATTTGGAGTCCCGTTGTCGTGTTAGTTCTCGTTTGCTAACAAATAAAGTCTAATTTATTTATTACTAGCTTTTACCCGCGGCTTCGCTCGCGTCACAAAAGAATAAAAAGTAGCCTATGTGACATATACCAATACACACAGCGCCATCTATAACAATACTTTTGTTTTTCCTCGGGAATATCAATTTTTCCGGGTTAAAAAGTACCCTATTATTTATTCCGGACTTCTAACATTACGTCTGCAAAAATTCAAAGCAATCGGTTGAGTAGTTACGGCGTGAAAGCAGAACAAACAAACAAACTCACTTTCCGATTTATAATATTAATATAATAATATAATATATTATTATAGTAAGGAAGTAAGGACTAGTAAGGATGTTTTCGACTTAGTCACGCTGTTTGACGACGAACTTGACTAGTGTATTAAATAATTCATAAACAGCATCGGTAATTCCCCTAATCGGTTCTAAAGGGAGTGCCTAAACGTATGTATTATTTGCGGGAATCCCCGAAAATGCGTTTCGTTTTCAAGTATAGACAATGTGAGGGTTGCCATTCGTGTAAAAAACTAAATAACTACTGATGACGAAATCATGATCTCCCTACCCCCAATAACCCCCCCCCCCCCCCCACTACCACACCATGGTGCTTACATAATACTTGAATAGTCCTAAGCCTAGAACATAATAATTAATTAAGTATGTTTCGCTAAAGTTTTAATATAAAATTGTAATTGTATTTCAGTCCTAATAAGATTCTGCAGACTGAAAAAATTAATGCAAAAATAAACCTATAAAAATCAAATTGGTCTAAAAACTGCACAGTCCGCGATGACGGCTCTCCACTGACTCCATTATAAACCTTATTGTGAATTTATCATAGTCGGGGACTAAGGAGTTAAGTATACATACTAAACAAAGTCTACATTTGTTCATGAATTAGACAGTGACATATTCTATTGTTAATATAAAAATAAATCACTGAATGTGTTTGCAAGCACAAATCTCGAGAACAGCTGAACCGCTTCTGAATTCTTTTTAGTTAAGAAAAGGTTCTTATGTATCGATCAATCGATCTCTTTGCCTAATTTTGGTGTTACATTGTTCTCACACCCAAACACCAAAACTATGTAACTGAAGAATTGTATTGTGAACCTGAATGAAAAAGAGTAACCTATGGTTAGTCTTCTGTTCTAGATTTATTATTTCATCATTTATTTTATTAAGGCGTCCAGTTATTCTAATTGGGTATTTTTCAAACGTTATGACTGTAACTAAATAAATAAAATAGAGTTTCTTGGTCATTCTTCTACATAGGAATCTACACCTTGGAATGAGCAAATAGCTTCACTTTAAATTTTTTGTTGACATTCCAAAGCAACTAGCTTTTCTAATTAAAATAAATGATTTTGACTTTGACTAAAAAAACCAATAAAATGATGCTTAGTAAAATTTCTAAGGCGAAACAAAGACTGCAGGGTCCACTAGTTTGTTATAAATAATGAAAAGAAAACTTATTACTTACATAGTTTAACAGTTTTTTCTACAGGCATTTGAACACATCTCATAAGTTTTTAATGAGCTAAATTACAAGCAAAACCTTTTTTACACTTGACCTAATCAAACAAATTAGAAAATAACAAAGAAGTATTTATGCAAACTATTACATTTGTCTATAATTTCGCCATACAACTGATTCAAAGAGAAAATAAAAAGAAAATATAGTCTCTATTGTCAAAGACGAAGTACTATTACGAGAAAAAATTCCTAAATAATATTAGAGTACATGACAAAATACATTTTATTAAACATTTATAAAAAATAACTTATTGAAATTAGTCCTTGAACCCTTAAGATCAATTAGAAAACGATTATTACATTTTCTACTAATATAACTTTACATTATTGCGACCAATGAACTCCAAACATCTTAATACGTAATATTTATCGCATTTCCAAGTATCCTTCACATCAATATTTACATATTACGCAAAAAAAATACAAATAATTCAGAATTCTAACCTATTGGATGTCGCACGGTGTAACAAAGGAGAAAAATATTGTATTCCCAACCAAATAATTCTTCGTGGTGCCAGCTTGAATATCTTAAACTTAATTTATATTTAATTAAAATTAATTTGAATAATTTCAAGATAGTAAATCACTGAAAATATCGACCGATCTGACGAATTGTCAGATTATAATACACTTAAATTACGTGGTACACTTATATTTGAGCTACTTAACGGTTTTTGTATACATTTAATTTACCTGGATTATAATTATAATCTTTTACGTTTAGTTACACGCAAATGAAAGACGAAATATTAATAATAATACTTACCAAAATGGATTATATAACGCACTGGAATGCTTTAAAACATTCGTGGAAACATATAACGTTAAAGTATCACTACTTGTTAAAAAATAAATGAGGAATCTTTAGCAGAACAAACACCGAGTGATCAATAATGAACAGTCGTAATTTGTTTTTATCTGTATACGTGTCAGCTGAGCTCCAAACGTATTTCTGTTGTGTGTTGCTACATACTGAAAAATTTGGTAGAAAGTAACTAAAATGTCTACACACTCAATAAAGAACTAAAAAGTTTGAATTTTGAAAACTATCGTAATTTTGTGGTATGACAATAGGCTTGTATTGGCTTCAACTAAGAATGAAATTACGGTATGTGTATGAAAGAAGGATGGATTCATAACATACGCTCAAGCTATGTATTTTCAAATTAAAAATTTATAAACACGTTTTAAACAAAGTTTGTTTCAACTGTACTTTATATAACCAAGCCATTTTCCTTGGTTTTTGTGTTAAATCCTTGAATATAACGAACGAACCCACAAATCATGTACCTTAACGGGCAACTCGTTATTTCAAAGGTACAAAATAAAACTTTAAGTATTTCTAAAAAAGAGATGCAAAGAATTAAAAAACGCTGCTTGATTTAGGCGTCAAAGTATTCATGTATTTCTCCGCATCACTATTATCAGGCGACGTTCACATACCTAAGACTAGCAGCATTGCCACTTTAAATAGCAATGCTATTTTTTGTTTGAAGTAATAGGCCTCTGGTCTGGTCACTCGAAGGGCCGGCAAGCCATCTCTAAAATGCATTACAAAACCCAATATCAATAAATTTAAACTAATCTATATAGATAAAAACGAAATAATAAATAACTAAGTCTACTTAAGATAAATAAACTAAAGTATTTACAACTAAAAATAACAACAGAAATGTAGAAAAATTGACAAGGAAAAAACAAAGAAAAACTAACTTAAACAACAAAAAAATCATCCTCATCATTGTTATGAGGTACGGTTGGGCATCTTACTTCATAACAGGCAGCATTGCCACGTTGGATGGCAGTGCTTAACCTTTGACCAAGATTGTAGACAGCCTTTCGAACACTTGAAATGTCAACCATCTTTTTTACAATACCTTTGTATAGAAGATAATTATGCACTTAGCCCTAAAGTTTAAACCCCAAACGGTTTGAAAGCATAATAAAATTGCTTATAATAATTTGCCTATTTTACTTTCGCCGATTGAGGTTCTCGGCAGCAACAGCGGCAGCAGCAGCAGCGGCAGCACTAGCTCAACTTGCTGAGCTTAGAAGATGGGATGGCACAAGAGTATCAACGCAACTGACGTCCCATATTAAAGGCCTGCCTACCCATCTTCCAAGGGAATCAAGACTAAACAATAAGTAGAATTTTCCATGATATTCTAGCAACACTTTGTCGTACTGTCAAAATGAGACAAATTTGTTTGACATTGACATTTCTACCATCCTTCGTCCTTTGACAGTGACATTTAACAGCCGGTATACTTGTCGAAACTTGTTTTGTTTACATTTTTTTAAAAGTTGTAAGTGGAAGCTGTTTCGTGAAAAATCCAATAAGCGATCATATATTTTGGTAAGAAATCATTTTGAAATTACTTCAAATGCTTTATGTAGGTATCTACTTAGTACTAGATGTTAAGTTTTTAAAAATGTGCTAGATTTTAGGCTCTGCGTAAAGATAAAGCTTTCTAGATTTTAATCAGTAATATTCTGTAAGTACCTAGCCCGTATTATTTATGAGGCGTACCAACTGCCTTAAACAAGTATCTAAATAACGTGATGTCTCGTCATTCTATATAAATATCAGGTTTGAGGTCCGATACCTGGTTGGGTAAAGAAATGTTTCTCGATTTCAGAATTCTCATATTCGTGATAACTGCACTTTATTTTAACCCATTTGGGACCAAATGCAAACTACACATAATTTAATAAAAAAAACTTTATTAACTCAATGATATGACGCCCACAAACTAATATCAGCAAAAAAAATTCAAAAAATATTTTTAGAAGTATTAAAAAAAATGCCGTCCTTGATTGGGGACAACGGTCTCATGTGTAGTACTTTTCGAAGTAGTAACTGTTTTCGACACATAAGGTTCTAACGCATTATTTGCATTGATATCACAGTTTTTTTATGATGAACTGCGTATCGTAACAGATATTAACTAAATCTCTGCGGAAAATGTCTAAATCAATTTGATGTGACGCGCCTATATTTTTTTTGAGGGTAAAAATCATGCATTGCGTTTTCCGCCTGGGGGACTCTTACTGGCTAAAAACCAACACGTTCCTAATTCTGCTTCAAGCCGAAGCCCCGGTGACCCACTAGGTTATTCATAGTAGTCGGGCATCTGTCCCACTGACCATCTCGATCTAAGGCGGTCTGATCTGCACTTTGAAGCACGCGCGTAACGCCACGCACCTTACAGGTACAGGTCTGGTTCTGGGCGGCGATCTGTTCTTGCTACTATGACTGCTTCGCAGAAAGAGATGTTTTCCAGTTCCCCTCGCTCCGCACCACAGCCAGAACCTAAGCTGGACGTGGAAGATTATCGTCGTCGATCACTTCCCTGAAGACACGGCGGTGGTCAACGTATACAGGGCATAATGCTACTCTATCCTCTGGGTGGACTTCGCTGTGACGACACCAGAATACAGCTGGAGGAAATGCCCCCTACTGCTGAATTCTGATATCGGATGCGACGCCTGGTACTGTAGGTGGACTTTTGCATCTTCGGTCTTGATGCCCATCAGATTTTAGAATATGAACGCGTAAAGATATGGCGGAATTGGTGATGCTCTTCGTGAATTAGCGTCTGTTGTCACCAAGTATTAGCTATAACTAAGTTTAGCCTATAGGTGACCTTTATAAATTGGAAAACAAAATACAAATCAGGTATAAATGTTTTAAAAATATACTACAGATGTGCCCATTGTCCCCATACGGGGACACCATCATTTTTTCTAACTTTCCCCTAAGCGGAATTGAAAGTATAAGGATATTCTTCAATATTGTTTTAATTGACACTATAAGCAAGCAATAATCACAAAAAAGTTTAATAAATCTTCATAATAACGTACTACAAAACGCCTCTGCTTTCAATAATAATTCCCATTTCACTTCCTCTTGATAAAATTGACAATATGACCCCTTTTTTGTAGCAATTTGTCAAAAGTTCTAATAATTTTAGGAAAGTACACTACTCCTCATTATAAATACCCATGAAATGTGAAGATAGCTAAAATAATTAATAACCAGCGGGTAAAAGAAAACCTGTCCCCATTTGGGGACGGCGGGCCCAAATGGGTTAAAGTGCTCATGGGTAAAATTTTCGTGTCAGGTTTCAATCCCTGAAAAATTTGTTCTCATATAGCTGGATTAGTAGGTATTGGTTTATACTGAATAAACTTAAGCAAATCACACTCCTACCTAAATTGATTAAATTATGAATAGAATGTTAAGTCTTCGCTATATTAGACATGGGAAAGTGAGTTTGTTTATATACCTTTTCATGTGCATTACAATACAAGTGTCAACATGTACAGTCTTACTGGTTTTCCTGTACAGACGCGTTACAGGTGTCCATGGGCGGCGCCGATTGCTTACTATTATGTGATTCGTCTACTCGTTTTCGTCTATTCACCCACTCTGCTCAGCTCCTATTGATGATAGCGGGATATTTAAGGCCCTAAACCCTATACAAAAAAAAAATGCACACATTTTCATTCACCACCAAATAGGCCGCATACCAATTTTTAGCTTTCTACTTTGAATATTATGAAATGCTCCATACAAATTTCCACCTTGTTTACCGGGTTACTTATGCCATAAAAAACAAAAGATACCTACTTATAATAAACTAGCAGAGTAGGTGACACCGTTCGAGAGGGCCTGGTTTGAAATAATCTCACTCACCGCAGTTCATAATCTTATCTAATCTGCGGTGCACCAATAATTTTGCATTGTCCATATGAAACCAAAGGAAAAACTTCATATTGCATCGATATCCGACAAGCGCTGACTTGCTATAACTTGTTGGCTCTTATTATTAACCTCTTTTGGTTACCATTTCATTTTTTCTGTTATTTAAATGGAGGAGATTGAACCGTAAGTGATTTTGTGTTTTATCTCTGTTAATAATGCAGTTTATAGTTATCAGATGAATACATCTGATAAAAAATAACAAACGATAGTTTTTGTTGTATTTTGTAGTAGTTTTTGTTGTATATTATAATAGGGGATAAAAAACCACCCCTTTCCTTCTCCTGCACGTCGAGCCGGAGCCCCGGTTACCCGTTAGGTTCTCCTCGACTCGAACCGACCGAATCGGCATCGGGCCTATTGGGCCCCATCTGTGGTGGTCTGATGGCTCTTTGAGGCGCAAAATCGCTAACAATCCTCAAATTCCGAATCCCCAAAAGGTCGGTAACACTGGACGATGATGCGACGCCAATTGCTTACCAACAGGTTTCATTTACCGGCTAACATAAAAAGGAAATCAATTTTTCTTGTAGTCCCTTCCGGTTCTTACGATTACGACAGACGAGGGAACATTAGGCATGGTGACAAATTTATTATCTTCTGCTTACACCAGCCAACTATCCTTACTAATATTATAAATCGGAAAGTGAGTTTGTTTGTTTGTTCCGACTTCACGCCGTAACTACTAAACCGATTGCATTGAATTTTTGCAGACGTAAAGTTAGTAGTCTGGATTAAATAATAAGGTACTTTTTATGTCTCTGCCTACCCCCATGGGAGACAGGCGTGAAGTTATGTATGTATGTACTTTTTATCCCAGAAAAAATGATATTCCCGAGGGAAAACAAAAGTACACATAGGCTACTTTTTATCCTTTTGTGACGCGAGCGAAGCCGCGGGTAAAAGCTAGTATAAAATAATATTATGCGAAAAATTCCCCTTCGTTATCGGTCTACACTTGAGATAAATAAAATCGATATAATGCATGCAGGTACGATAAACCTTAATTACTAACGTGTGTGCTTAGTATTATCACACCATGTTTTTTAAAAATTCTCAGTAGTAGCACGGAGTCTGGAGTTGTGCCCGGTATTTTTTTTTATAGCATAAACCGGTAATCGTGCAGACGGATCACCTGATGGTAAGCAATCGGCGCCACCCATGGATACTCGAAACACCAAGGCGTTACAAGTGCGTTACCGGCCTTTTGGGAATTGAGAATTCGAGGATTGTGGAGGATTAGGGGATTCGGGAGACGGAGACTAAGGTAATTGGGCCTCCGGTAACCTCACTCACACGACGAAACACAGCGCAAGCGTTGTTTCACGACGATTATCTGTGAGGCCGTGGTATCACTCTGGTCGAGCCGGCCCATTCGTGCCAAAGCATGGTTCTCCCACACTTAATGGCAATGGCAACATGGCAATAGGCTCACTCCCTATTACATGGGACTCACAACATAAATAGTGAAAAGTGGGTGTTACATCGTACAGTGGGATAATGTGCACCTCTGCCTATCCCTTCGAGTATATAAGTTTCTTTATATGAATGTTTGGATGTTTGTCCGTTATTCACGCTAAAACTACTGAACGGATTTTGATGAAATTTAGTATACAGGCTGACTTGGTGATAGGAGACTTTTATCCCAGTTAACCCCTAGAGCGTCTTTATGAGCACCCGGAGGATCATAAGAAAAAATGCTCCCTGCTGCTTTCTCTTTTATAAAATCTATTATTAATGTTTTGTTTTTATTTTGTCTGTATTTTTTATTTGTATTGTAATGATTCTTGTTTTCGTGTGCCAATGGCCAAATAAATGCATTTTCTTTCTTTCTCCAAATGTCACGTGTGCATCCATTGGATCATAAGGAACGCGGACGCTCGACGGGTTAAATGCTGCCATGGATCTATTGGACGGAGAACGATAGGCTCACACTAGCGCCATCTATTGAACAAAAATACGGTAGCCCCCATTTGACTACTACCTAATATTGTAGTGGTTACATGGGAATCATGGGATAAAATAGGAATCATATTCAATGCGGACGATGTCGCGGGCAACAGCTAGTAATTATGAAAGGTTTTTAGGCTTGTTTTAATATTTGGTAGGTACTCAATCAAGTCAAAATCGTTGAAGGGATCGGTACTTATGTTATTAATTTGGAGTAGGGGTACATGATGGTCTTTTTTGAGGGGGGAATATCATCAAATTACTTTTTTTAATATTTGATGTGACGACGTTTGACCGCTATAGAGCTTGGTGGTGTACGATGATGCGGTCTACGATGGATTATGTCGTCCCATAAGCAGCCTATTCACTCGGGCCTCTCGCGGAGAACCTAACGGGTTACCGGGGCTCCGGCTCGATGTGCAGGAGAAGAAACGGGGTGGTTTTTAGTCAGTAAGAGTATGACACACTCTCCCGCCTCAACTAGGCGGGAGCAGCCATTCGATGACTTACCCCTCTTAAAAAAAAATCACTCGGGCCTTTAAGACACACGTTATATCCTTCAGGAAATACAGACTCTGGCAAAGAATTCCACTCCTCCTCCTGCTTAAAAACCACCGTGGTCTTCGAACCGGAGCCCCGATAACCCGTTAAGTCTCCGATATAACGTATGGGCTATGTTTTAACCCACGGAAACGCGGGCGAAACAGAAGCTAGTATTATGATAAAAATAATATTTGATTTACAGAAACCCAATAATGGAGAGTTGGGATGCGGTAGTGACGTCATACCCAGATAATCCGGAGCCCATCGACTACGCGAAGGCTATCCGGACAGCTAACATTATTGTTGATGAAGATCTAGCGCCGTTTGAAACAGGTCAGTGTAAATTAACTAAAATCGCGGGTTACTCACGTGAATATACTGAGCTGCTGCTGATGCTGGTAACGTACCGTGCGCTTCAACATCGTCCAACGCGTCGCCGCCGGAGTTGGAAGCAAACGCTCGTGGTGTCCGGCTGAGGGCGCGGTGGGCTCAAGGCGCAAGTATAGCAACACCGATGCGAGAGCGAGCGCCAACGCTAGCCAGTAGACTGCGCGATATCGCCGCGTCCGTGCACGCTGCTGTTCGAAACCAGTAGAGCTTTTTTCGGTATATGAGAGAACTCGAACAACGATCCTCAAATTTCTAATCCCCAAAAGGCCGGTAACGCACTTGTAACGCCTCTGGTGTTCCAGGTGTTCATGGGCGACGCCGATTGCTTACCATCAGGTGATCCGACCGATCGTTTACCGGCTTATGCCATAAAAAGTGACTTATGTTAGTGCGAGTGGTGGGGACTTCAAATAGTCTCTGCTTCGGGCGCAGTCACCTTCCTGTTTGGGCGAGAAATCTCAACTAAGTCAGTATGGATGGATTGTTCTCTTCACCTCGGAAATCCTCAAACACGTACTATGCGAGTACAACTTCTCGCCAGACCTCCTACATATATTATCCCACCATTATACCACTTCTCGCCTAACCTCTAATAAACTTACACCACTTAGTTTTTATTCAAGTTTCCGTGGTGCTTGGCGACTTTTTTTTTTAAAGGGGGAAAATCATCGAATGTCTGCTCCCGCCTGGGTGAGGCGGGAGGGAGTGTGAGACTCTTACTGACTAAAAACCACCCCGTTCCTTCTCCTGCACGTCGAGCCGGAGCCCCGGTTACCCGTTAGGTTCTCGACTGGGCTTCACCCGGTTGTAAAGTCTCTTCTTTTTTTGTGCCTTTAGGTTTAATTCACTCTGTCTCCTGCAGTAATTCACCGAGGGAAGTGAAAACTATCGTTTTTGTCTTCTCCTCTTATAATATCTTCTGATTCATTTCGTTGCGGGAACCAAGACAGTTACTCATGTCCCTGAGACGCGCCGGACTTTAGTGTTCCGGTGTTTGCATGGTTGTATCTACTGTAGATCCTGGCTTACAGGAGTTGCAGCGGTTTTGGGAGGTTGTGGCGGGCTTGTACCTAAAAAAATAACCTGTAATAAAACTGTAATATAATTTCAGAATGGCTGACTAAGACGTTGCTCTTCAAACCTATACGTCTCTTTGAGACAATAAAATCGAACACAAAGCGAAATGATGAGGCGTGGGTGAAATACATTGCGGATTCTATAAAACTTTTGTCGAAATTGATCGAAACACACTGGGATGTGCTCGAGAATTATAATCAAGAGCTCGTTGAGGTAAGTCGTTTTATTACAGGACGGTCAGCAGCATGGGATACCTATCATGTGGCGTGCAAAGTGTTACCTAGTGAATACGATGTCTTTAGGTGCACTTTGGGTCCACTAAAATAAATTTTAGAATGTCCAAATGCGACTGCCGGGCAAAGGGTCTCGGCTTCGATTCCCGGGTCGGGCAAAGTATTACTGGGCTTTTTCGAAAAATCTTAGTAGTAGCAGACGGATCATCTGATGGTAAGCAATCGGCGTCGCCCATGAACACCCGAAACACTAGGGGCGTTACAAGTGCGTTACCGGCCTTTTGGGAATTGGGAATTTGAGGATTGTGGGAGATTCGGGGATTGGGTAGGCAGGGGAAAGGGGTCAATTAAGCCTCCGGTAACCTCACTCACACGACGAAACATAACGCAAGCGTGGTTTCGGGTTTCTGCTCGGCCGTGGTATCACTCCGGTCGAACCGGCCCATTCGTGCCGAAGCATGGCTCTCCCAGACTTGAAAATGAATATAATTTTTATGCATTACTTGTACTTATTTTTAGCTCTGTTCGCTCTCGTATGATACACAAACGCGCAAAGAGGCTATCCTGTGTCTCCTGAAAGTTGTGAAACAACCTTCGGTGGCTCTTACTGATGAATTCGTCGTAAATGTAATTAATGCGTTTGAAAAAACTAAAACCTGTAAAGGTCCACTCGCTGAATTAGTTGGTAAGTTTATTTCATTCTATCCTTACTAATATTATAAATCTGAAAGTGAGTTTGTTTGTTTGTTCCGCTTTCACGCCGTAACTACTAAACCGATTGCTTTAAATTTTAGCAGACGTAAAGTTAGAAGTCCAGATTAAATAATAGAGTACTTTTTATCCCGGATAAATTTTATATTCTCGAGGGAAAACAGAAGTATTAGTATAGATGGCGCTGTGTGTATTGGTATATGTCAGAGGCTACTTTTTATCTTTTTGTGACGCGAGCGAAGCCGCTGGTAGAAGCTAGTAAAAGTATAAGAAGTATAAGATTGTGCCCTCATCTGACATATAGTCTATAGAAGTCGCGGGTAGAAGCTGGTATTAATAGAAAATCTGTATTCCAGGCGCTTTATGCAGATATTTCCCTGAAATCGTCAGGGCAGAAGGCCGCTGCATATTAATTTGGAGAACTTACCTCAACATGTTCAAAAATCCGAGGGTGAGAATAAAAAATAATATTTTCTAGATATCTCTCCATGTCGGTTACGACTACGGCGATTAGGGGTCGTTCAAATATTACGTAAGCAGATTTTTTACAATGGGGATGATGACAGGGTATGAAAATTAAAAGTATAATTAGTCCGTAAGTTAGGTAATGAAAAAATATTAGACACGTATTTTTTTATTTTGTCGTATAATAAAACAATACTTAGATAAAACGAATCAAAGTTTAGGAGTGGGGGCTAAAACGTCATTTCTTAGTATAAAATGTACTGAGAAGTGACGTCACGCGACATTTCAAATCAATATATCTTCGAAACTATTCGTTTCTGTGAGAAAATAAAAAATACGTGTCTAATGTTTTTAAATAATCTATCAGACGGACATTAAAATAAAAATTAGTCGTCTACCCTATTATTTACCCCTCCCCCCCAATCCCCCTTGTCAGCAAAAGTAAGCAAAGATCTCACCCCCCTACCCCTTTGCTTGCGTTGCCGGCTCCTATGAGCCAACCAATTAGAGCGCTGAACGCGGTTTCGTTTATCCGCGTCGTAGTATCACTCCGGTCGAGTCGGCCCATTCATCTCAAAGCATAACTCTTTGACTTTAATGAACTAATTTTAACCTTTCTAGTGTCCTTTTACGAACACGGTCCTAATAGCTGTACTGAAAGGTACTGACGATTTGCTGGCGAGTTTTTGGGAAGATATAGATCCAAATGAACTAAATGAGTTCTATGACCTTATAATATCCAGGCGAGCTAAGTCATCCAAGGCTTTCGAAGGTAAGACTCAAACTCAAACTCAAACTCTTTATTTGCATGTTAAGGTAATACATACAGGTCTTATGAAATAACAGGCACAGCTTAACGGCCTTTTTCAGGCGTTGCAAATTTTAGGGGTGTCACCAGCTTATTATAAATTACATTTTGGTTAAATTACATTTTTTTTTACATATTTATTTGTTCGGAATATAGGTAAGTACTTAAGGTATATAATATATTAGTGGGTAAGTGCAAAATGTAAGTGGGTATTCTTAAAATGTTTAGTATATTGTATATACATAGAATATTTATATTTAAAATGTATAGTATGTTGGTGTGTACTTGTGGGTGTATGTATGGGGTAGGATTAACATTTAATTTTGGTGTTATATTTTTCTTCGAAGAATTCTTTTGTCGAGTAAAAGCATTTTTGTATTAGGAACTTTTTTAATTTTCTTTCAAATATAATTTCTTTATAGTTTCGTTTTGTAGGTCTTTAGGTAATCTATTGAATATTTTGACAGCCATGTAGTAAGGACTTTGGTTAAGCATTTTAATTCTAGATGGTGGTAGGTACAGTCTGTTTTTATGTCGGGTATTTACATTATGGGTGTCTTTTACTTTCGTGAAATTATCTTTATTTTTGAATACAAACTTGCATAAGACTTGTTGTAGCTATTCTCGCGTAGTTTCTTGTGTGTGGAATCATTTGTTATTTTTTTTTAAAAAACCTTGCCCCACTCTAGGATTTTCTCCTGTGTCGTGGGTGCGTTTACAAACATACAGGTTCACATACACATTACACCCAGACCCGGAACAACAATCTGTGGATCACACAAAGAGTTGTTCCGTGCGGGAATCGAACCCGCGACACGTTGAAACAAAGAGTTTCCTTTTCTTGTATAGAAGCACCATGTTGGACTTCAAGATTTTTATTATTTTTTTTAATTTTAGTAAGTTATTAGTATAATTCGTCAAGCATGTCTTTGCATTGTTCTTACATATGCGTACAGTATTGAAATATGTATCAGAGACATTGTAGAACATACTTTTTTTAAAAAGAGTAACGAATGGAGTTTCTTGCTCGTTCTTCTCCATTCGAATCTACTTTTTGGAATGAGCACCTAGCTTCACCTAGCTTCACTGACGGACTGACTGACAGACTATTATTTATTTTGTATTTGTTGACGTTTCAAAAGTACCAAACTATGGTTTAATTGAAATAAATGCTTTGACTTTGACTTTGACTTTGTTGCGCCTAGCCACCGCGCCAACCGTGCAGTCAATTGTGTTCAGTATATTATATGGCAACAGGCTCACCGCCTTTTACATGGGACTCATAACATAAATAGTGTAAAGTGGGTGTTACATTGTACAGTGGGATTAACTGCCATAATATGCACCTCTGACTACCCCTGTATTACTTCTTAATATTATTTTCAGTGATAATATCGCTCTTGGAACATCACGCTGGACTATTTAAAGAGAAGTTGGCAAAAGATGAGAGATTACGCAACTATTTGTGGCAAATCGAACAAAAGAACGCGATGGAAGCATTGATAAAAATTTATCAACATATCCTACCTACAAGAACTGAAAATCAAAAGCAGGTATATATATATCCCATTTTTTTGAAGGGGGAATGACTGCTCCCGCCCTGGTGAGGTGGGAGGGAGTGTCAGACTCTTACTGACTAAAAACCACCCCGTTCCTTCTTCTGCACGTCGAGCCGGAGCCCTGGTAACCCGTTAGGTTCTCCGCGACATATATATATCCTACTGTCCTTAATCAGTACATAGTATAAAACAAAGTCGCTAACCATCGTCTGTCTGTCCCTATGTATGGGTATTTAAGTGTGGGAGAGCCATTATACATATAAACCTTCCTTAAGAATCACTCTATCTATTAAGAAAAACTGCATCAAATACCGTGGCGTAGTTTTAAAGATCTAAGCATAATTTTTTTTTTGGGTGTATTCCGGTAAACGAGCAGACAAATCACCTGATGGTAAGCAATCGTCGCCGCCTATGGACACCTGGAACACCGAGGCGTTACAAGTGCTTTACCGGCCTTTTGGCAATTGGGAATTAGAGGATTGTGGAGGATTCACGGATTGGGGAGACTGGGGAGGGGTGTTATTGGGCCTCCGGTAACCTCACTCATACGACGGAACAGAACGCAAGCGTTTCACGTCGGGTTTTCTGTGAGGCCGTGGTATCACTCCGGTCGAGCCGGCCCATTGAGTCGGGTCAAGTTGAGAATCTCTTTCATGTTTTGGAGTCTGTTAAAAACAGTTTCTTGTTTCCAGGAAATATTAGCTGCAGAAATAAAACCCAGGATTGCGTCAGGGTCTATTTTAGTCAAACATACGGCTTTGAAGGTTTTGATGCAGGCCAGCGCTGGACAAGCAGGTGGTGAGATGGTCCTCAGCTCAGGGGAGAACTTGGAGTATCAGCTCAGGAGTAAAAGAGTGGACTACGACGAGGCTGCCACTGTGAGTATATACTGTGATTTGTTTTTCAGACACAGCCCAATTTATTTATCCAGTGACTCTGATTAGTTAATATATATTGAACTAGCTTTTACCCGCGGCTTCGCTCGCGTCACTTAAGGATAAAAAGTAGCCTATGTGACATATACCAATACACACAGCGCCATCTATACCAACACTTTTGTTTTCCCTCAGGAATGTCAAATTTTTCCGGGGTAAAAAGTACCCTATTATTTAATCCAGATTTCTAACTTTACGTCTGTAAAAATTCAAAGCAATCGGTTTTGTAGTTACAGCGTGAAAGCGGAACAAACAAACAAACAAACTAACTCACTTTCCAATTTATAATATAAGTAAGGATAATCTATATATAAAAATCGACTGCGCGGTTGGTGCGGTGGCTGGGCAACCAGCTGCCGTGCAACGTGTCGCGGGTTTGATTCCCGCACGGAACAACACTTTGTGTGATCCACAAATTGTTGTTCCGGGTCTGGGTGTGATGTGTATGTGAACCTGTATGTTTGTAAACACACACACGACACAGGAGATAATCCTAGTGGGGCAACGTTTTTGACGTGACAACGTCTTATATGTCGTGGTGGCCCGGAGGTTTAAGACGCCCACTTCTCATGCATGAGGGTGCGGGTTCGAAACCTACCAACGGCAAGTACCAATGTGACTTTTCCGAGTTATATGTACTTTCTAATATTATTTAGACACCACTGACAAACGGTGAAGGAAAAACATCGTGAGGAAACCTGGACTTATAATTTCTACTTATAAGTTTGAAATCGCCAACCCGCATTGAGCAAGCGTGGTGATTAATGCTCTAACCTTCTCCGTGTGAGAAGAGGCTTTGCTCAGCAGTGGGCATTTCTAGGCTGTTGATGAACGTCTTATAAATTGGTTTGCCGGGTGACACTTCAAGAAACTGCGTTACGCTCCGCTCACGTTATGCGCTCACAATGAGAGCGAGTGAGAGGCACGCGTCCCTTCCACTCGGGCATGCTTAGCCCGCCTAAGAGCGAAAGAGACAGACATAAAAAGTGAAAGGCACGCGTTCCTTCCACTCGAGCACAGTTAGCCCGCCTAAGAGCGAGAGAGAGAGAGATTGAGAGAGATAGGCATACACACCGGTTCATGTCTTGCTTCTTTGTATAAATTAATGTTTTAAATATAATTCTTTGTATAAATAAATGTTTTAAATTGTTACTATTATTTCATCCTTCTTCCTACTATACGAATGAATATTCACATTAAAATTATTTTACCACTCAAAGTCGTTGTCACGTAAAACTTTCGCCCGTATACCGACTTTACAGGCAACCAATTTTTAAAAAAAAAACAAATAACTAAAAAAACCATAATTACAGATATCGTGGTGCATAGAATCCAATCTATCAAACAGCGGCAATATGTTGCGGACCTCTATAATGTTTTACGACAACCTGCCGAGTAACAAGAAGAAAGATATTGTGGTTAACGGCATCTTCAAGGTCAATGATGATGTTAGGAAGGTAAGATTACATTATTTTGTTTATGGTATAACCCGGTAAACGAGCTGACGGATCACCTGATGGTAAGCAATCGGCGTCGCCCGTGGACAACTGGAACACCAGAGGCGTTACAAGTGTGTTACCGGCCTTTTGGGGCTCAGGAATTTAAGAATTGTTTAGGGATTCAGGGATTGGGTAGAAAGGGGTAGGGGGGGGGGGTAATTGGGCCTCCTGTAACCTCACTCACACGGCGAAACACAACGCAAGCGTTGCTTCACGTCGGTTTTCTGTGAGGCCATGGTATCACTCCGGTCGAGCCGGCCCATTCGTGCCGAAGCATGGCTCTCCCACACTTTAAGTTTATGGCATGAGCCGGTAAACGAGCAGACGGATCACCTGATGGTAAGCAATCGGCGTCGCCCGTGGACACCTGGAACACCAGAGGCTTTACAAGTGTGTTACCGGCCTTTTGGGGCTCAGGAATTTAAGAATTGTTTAAGGATTCAGGGATTGGGGAGAAAGGGGTAGGGGGGGGGGGTAATTGGGCCTCCGGTAACCTCACTCACACGGCGAAACACAACGCAAGCGTTGCTTCACGTCGGTTTTCTGCTTGGCCGTGGTATCACTCCGGTCGAGCCGGCCCATTCGTGCTAAAACATAAAGAGCACACACTTAAAGTGTAAAATTAAAAATCTATTGTGTCCGTCAGTTAGATAATTAAAAAATATTAGATACGTATTTTTTTATTTTGTCGTAAAGGAAACAAGACTTAGATAAAACGAATCAAAGCTTAGGAGTGGGAGCTAAAACGTCATTACTACGTATATATAAAACGTACATAGAAGTGACGTCACGCGATATTTCAAATCAATATATCGTCGAAAGTATTTGTTTACGTGATAAAATAAAAAATATGTGTCTAATGTTTTAAAATAATCTACCGGGCGGACATTAAAATGAAAATTAGTCATCTTGTATATTTTGGGATGATAAGATTTTGATGCGCGATGCAAATCAATTCGCAAGTTCTTGCGATGCGTAGAGGGAGCTCGCACATTTTTGCGATGCGACGTCGCATCACAGTTTTGTGTACGAGCTCTGAAACCGTTTAACATAAAAAATATTTTGTTTTTTTCAGACTGCATTAATATTGCTCCTGAAACTCAGTCTTCAGGAAGGTTTAGACAAATATATAGATGTCTGGAGGTCTATTTTAGACAATAATACAGGGCCAGACCTGGATAAAGCTGTGATGATATTCCAAGAGACTGTCCATTATATACTGCAAGACTTGGTGACTACAGTCGGTGATCAAGAAAAGGTACGTTTTAAACTAAAACACTTACTTGTGTAAGTATTCCCGTGGGTATACCATACCCACGACAAGAATATGGATGGACTTAACATTTTTTAAATTCTTTTAAGTCCCAATTTTGTGTGTAACAATATTCCTAACTTTTTGTATTTAACTAATTTCCACGCTTAGTAAATGGGTTAAAGATGGCAGTTGGTCTGGGTATACGACACCCACGGGAATGGAAGAGGTGGCAAATTACATATTTACCTGGACTACATACAGTGTGTCTATTATAAATTATTATGATTTCGGCTTACTCACGTAATAATTTGACGAGGAACTCGACTAGTTTCAAGCCATGCTAGAGGCTCATATTCATGAGCAGCATTTCGCGACACATAACGCGGCGACTGTCGCTGCTACTGTCGCCGCATCATAACATCACGCCTTTTATCTCCGAAGGGGTAGGCAGAGGTGCACATTATGTCACTGTATAATGTAACACCCACTTTTCACTATTTATGTTATAATAGGGGGTGAGCCTATTGCCATATACCGGGCACAATTCCAGACTCCGTGCTACTACTGAGATAGTTTTAAAACCCAGTAATACTTTGCCCGACCCGGGAATCGAACCCGAGACCCCTTACCCGAATACAAATAAAGTGTGTCTATTATTTTGTTCACAGTCTTTCACGGATGTGAAGCCGATACTATCACTGCTCACAGTGCTACTGAGTCTTCAGCAGACAGAACATAGTACTCCGAAGTGGTGCCACTCCATCGTACCCTCGATTGTTCACCTCGCCAGGTTCTATAGGCAGGAGCCTGTGAAGATGATCCAAGAGATGCCTGCCGATGAGGTAAGGTACAGGTTTTTTGTGGTATACTTCGGCACACGATGTACAGGAAAATGGGGTGAATAGAATTCGAGGGGTGAATAAATACAGAAGAGGGGTGAATAAATAAAATAAATATAAATAGAACACATAATCCTATCGAGGGCAGCTACCATATAGAGGGGCAGGGGTATGCAGAGGTGCACATTGCGACACTTAATCCCACTGTACAATGTAACACCCACTTTTCACTATTTATGTTATGAGTCCCATGTAATAGGGGGTGACCCTATTGCCGTATACCGTACAAATTTCCAGACTCCGTGCTGATACTGAGATTTTTTGAAAAACTCAGTAATACTTTGCTCGACTCGGGACCCTTGGTCGGCAGCCCCACTTGCGACCACTCGGCTAACGCGAAGGTTTTAATGTGAACTTTTATTTTGGCAAAATAATGATCTCAGTAGTAGCACGGAGTCTGGAAATGTGCTCGGTATATGGCAATAGGCTCACCCCCTATTACATGGGACTCATAACATAAATAGTGAAAAGTGGGTGTTACATTGTACAGAGGCATAATGTGCACCTCTTCCGACCCCTTCGGGGATAAAAGGCGTGATTTTAAGTAAGTTAATAACGATGAAGTTACTCCACAGATGCCGTATGTGGAGATATTCAAAGAGGACACAGTTTACAAGACACTACTCACTCTCATGTCTACAGACAGACGCGCTATTTATGATGGGACTCTCTCCTCGTTTCAGGTTAGTTTATGTTATACTAGCTTCTTACGATCTCCGGCCACCGTAAGCACGGGCCTGCGGACGGCGAGCATGGGTGGCTCGCAGCCCGATCTTCGAAAGTATTCGAAACGAGTACGCATTTGGCACTCTGATTGGCCGGCACCAATGAACCAACCTATCAGAGCGCTGAATGCGTACTCTTTACGATTACTTTAAGCGTACTAAGGCCTCTGTGGGCTTACTCTTGAATCCAATTCCGATCGATCGACATTGATATTGTGAAGTTTCCTACTCTTGAGTTGCACTTGCAACACTAGCGCCCATTGCATCCGTATTGCGTGGGTATATAATGAAATAAATGGTATTGAGTTTGTTTTTATATTCCCTACTCAGAATGCTATTTTAACAGCTACAATAGGGGTTGTATAATTTTGACATTGAATAATTATTGAGATTATATTGGATTGACATTGAGATTGGTTTCAAGAGTAAGCACCCTGAACCAGACCCGAGCGTGCGGCGCCGAGCGTTCCGCGCGCGCCTCAAAGAGCCATCAGACCACCATCGTCAGATGGGACTCGATGGAACTTGTCGGATGGGACTCAATAGGGCTGAAGCCGATACGGAGTCGCTGAGGACTTAACGGGTTACCGGGGCTCCGGCTCGAAGTGCAGCAGTAGTAACGGGGTGGTTTTTAGTCAGTAAAAGTAGTCACTCCCTCCCACCTCACCCAGGCGGGAGCAGTCATTCGATGATTTTCCCCCTTAAAAAAAAGTACTAAATTCTTCCAGTGGCTTGGCTCTCATTCCCTTTGTATAAAAAGTACCCGTTGTGTTATATTAAACAAAACCTACCCCTGTTCTAAATTCCATCTCGAAGGGATCTTCAGCCGTTTTGACATGATTAAGTAACAAACACACACATAAAACTGAATAAGCAATATATTATTCTAGGAATACAGTACCCGGCAATAAATATTGCATATTTTACTATGGATTAAGCCGGTAAACGAGCAGACGGATCACCTGATGGTAAGCAATCGACGTCGCCCATGGACACCTGGAACACCAGATGTGTTTTAAGTGCATTATCGGCCTTTTGGGGATTAGGAATTTGAGGATAGGGTAGATGCCTAATTTTTATTTTAATGTTCGTCTGGTAGATTAGTTTAAATCATTAGACACGTATTTTTTATTTTCTTACAGAAACGAATGCTTTCGACGATACATTGATTTTTATAATAACTATCGTGAGACATACTAAATTAGTAGAGCTTTTCTCAGTATATTCACGTGAGTAACACGCGATTTTTGGTTAATTTGATATATTGATTTGAAACGTCGCGTGACGTCTATGTACATTTTATACGTAGAAATGACGTTTTAGCCCCCCACTCCTAAACTTTGATTCCTTTTATCTAAGCATATTTTATTATATGACAAAATAAAAAAATACGTGTCTAATATTTTTTCATTACCTAACTTACGGACTAATTATGTTTTTAACTTTCATACCCTGTCATCATCCCAATTGTTGGGGTTTGGTAATTGGGCCTCCGGTAACCTCACTCACACGACGAATATATCCTGATTATATGTTTATTATCACGTTCACAAAAACTAAAAAACTAATGTAAAAACTCGTTTTCAAAGTCTGAATACATCACGTTCTTAAATTTCAGGCCATATTTTCTAAAGAGGACAACGATTATAAAGTATTGATCAAAATACTGGCAAATTTAGAAACAGTTATTGAAGAAAATTCTTGCAATCTGGATCAACGACAACTGTCCTTGGTAAGTATCATATTATAATTAGATACTCTATTTGCACTCACTTACTACGTCTACGGGGTCCGTTTCTACGCAGTGAAGTAGTAAGCCGTGGAGCTACTCTACATCCACCCCACCCAGGGAGCTTATGGGTCCAGTGCCTTTAGCCAAACGCCACTTTAGCGCTTGTCTACAGAGAGAGTAGAAAACTAAATGCATGGGGATGACACTGACAAGTGTCAAAATTTACGTCAATTCCATATAATTTGGTTTTCTATTTTACATGTAGACAAGCGCTAAATGGCATTTGGCTACAGCTGCTGGTTATCCTGTCATTAATGTTAGCCCTGCTTGGTGGAACCCCCACCGCCACGTTAATTGCTGCATATCCAGGCGTTTAATCGCTACAGAGATTCAATTTGAGTCATCATCATCAACAGTCTACAAGTGACCACTGATGACCAAAGGCATAGTATAAAGAACAAAGTAGGTTATCTTCATACAAATGCTCCGCGCGCGGCTTATATGTGTGCGCCATAGTATCTATGCGTCGACGCACGCACACTTTAACAAAATCTCGACCCGTTTCTCGGTGCGCCAGGCAGGGCTGACACTGTACGAGGTTCGCGCGCGCTTCACGGCTTTTTGGCACTGTTCAATGAAATAAAAAATGTCTGATAATCGTAGAAGAACGTATTGCTGTGTGTTTGGGTGTCTTAATAATTAATCGATTCCAGAACTGTCTCTGTTCAGATTAGGTACCTATTGAACAGGAAAGGTAAGCTAGTCACTTTTTCTAGCATAATATAATTTGTAGGTACTTGATGATGAGATACCTACTTACTTATTCTTACTCTTATCATTCTTCATAGTTCCTACTCAACCAGAAATGTAATTACCTATACTTAATATTATAAGAAAATGTGGTATTGTATTGTTTTTTCACAGTTTATCTGATTTGTTAAGAGCGTAGCCGAGTCGCATTTTTCCATATAAATGTATTCCCAAATTTACTTTCTGAATACTATGTACCTATAGAGCTAAAGTTTATTTTAAGAAGTTAATAATCTTTTTATAAACTTTTAATTTTTACTAAATTTATAAATTGATAAAATATTCAATCATAATATGCTTTTCATTTCATAAATTTAGATCAAGTGCTGCTTGTTCGAAAATATTAACTAAAAGTAAAAGTGACAACCCTGGGGATCAACGCAAGAGTAGGCTAATAACTCGGCGGGCGGCCTTAGATAACCTACTGTGTTCTTTATACTATGCCAAAGGCCTCTTCTCACATGGATAAGGTTTGAGTATCAATCACCACGCTTGCTCAATGCGGGTTGACGATTTCAAACTTATAATTAGAAATTATAAGCCCAGGTTTCCCTCACAATGTTTTCCTTCTCCGTTTGTCAGTGGTGTCTAGATAATCTTAGAAAGTACATATAACTCGGAAAAAGTCACATTAGTACTTGCCGTTGGTAGGTTTCGACCACGCACCCTCATGCATGAGAAGCAAGCGTCTTAAACCTCCGAGCCACCACGACATTTTTAATACCATTTCAATGTTCGGTCGTTAAAGGGAACTAAAGTAAAGTTTTCAAAAAGCATTCACTTATATTTTTCTCTGTGTATTTTCAGGTAATAAATCAGATAGACAGACTGAAATTTAAGATTGTTTTAGATAACAAGGATGCGAGAGTATTTCAGAAAGATGTCATCATGTTCTTGGGTAAGGCTTTATCTAAAACTAGCTTTTACCCACGGCTTCGCTCGCGTCACAAAAGGATAAAAGTAGCTTATGTGACATATACCAATACACACAGCGCCATCTATAACAATTCTTTTGTTTTCCCTCGGGAATACTAAAATTTTCCGGAATAAAAAGTACCCTATTATTTAATCCGGACTTCTAACTTTACGTCTGCAAAAATTCAAAGCAATCGGTTTAGAAGTTACGGTGTGAAAGCGGAACAAACAAACAAACTCACTTTCTCATTTATAATAGTAAGGATTAACAGTCCACACAAGTAAATCGCAAATCACACATCGCTTACCACCAGGCGAGATAGTGGTCAAACGTCGGCCCAACAAATATTAAATATATGTATATATACCTCACGCCCCGGCCGTCGCGAGAGACATTCCGGGCGTCGGGGATCGCGAGACGATCTCCGGCCACCGAAAGCACGGGCCTGTGGACGGCGAGCACAGGTGGCTCGCCGCCCGACCAGAACCAGGCCCGAGCGTACAGCGCCGACCTTCCGCGCGCGCCTCAAGGAGCCATCAGACCACCACAGATGGAGCCCAACAGGGCTAATGCCGATACGGAGCTGCTTAACGGGTTGCCGGGGCTCCGGCTCGAAGTGCTGGAGTAAGAACGGGGTGGTTTTTAGTTAGTAAGAGTCTGACACTCCCTCCCGCCTCACCCAGGCGGGAGAAGTCATTGGATGATTTTCCCCCCCTCAAAAAGAGGGTATCCTTGGCTTTATATTAATTGAAAGAAATGTTTTGTATTTATCCCCATTTTTTATAATAACTATAATGAGACTTATTTAATTAACTAAACATCGCGAGTTACTCACGTGAATATACTGAGACAAGCTCTACTAGTTTCGAACCACAGAGGGGTTCTTCCTCATGAGCAGCGTGCGCGGTCGCGGCGATGTCTACAGTCTACTGGCTAGCGTTGGCGCTCGCATCGGTGTTGCTACTTGCGCTGCGAGCCCACGGCACTTAGTAGAAACTAAACTGAGAAGTAAAAATGAAGGTGTAGAAACGAAACTAGTAGAGCTTTTCTCAGTATATTCACGTGAATAACCCAATTGGGTATTTAATAACTAGTTTAACAAATTCACATACTTTTTTCGAACTGTCAAAAACGTCAGTTTTCTATCAATTTTGTACGAGATTGTGTATTGTGACGTCACGGTGTTTAAGCGTCAAACAGCGTACTTATTTCTTAAACATTTGCTGGTAAAATACTAAAATTAAATTGGTCATAAAATCAATTAATGAACGTGTGATTATTTTTTAATATTATACTGTATTGAACAGTCGAAATATTTTTGACTAAGGAAAGTTACTAATATTGTTTGTTTTCAGCAAAATACGGTCAAATGTGTCTGCAAGGAAGTTTCTCTGAAGATATGTACGCTTTGAAATTAAAGAATAAAGTGTATTTTAATATACCTAATATTGTGCAAGGTTCTACTTTGAAGGTATGTAGACTTTTTTAACCGACTTTTTTTTATGGCATAAGCCTACCGGCTTATGCCTCGTTTACCAACGACAAACGGATGACCTGATGGTAAGCAATCGGCGTTGCCCATGGACACCTGGAACACCAGAGGCGTTACAAGTGTGTTACCGGCCTTTTGGGGAATTAGGAGTTTGAGGATCGTTGGGGATTCAGGAATTGGAGGGATTGGAGAAGGGGAGGGTAATTGGGCCTCCGGTAACCTCACGACACGACGAAACAACGCAAGCGTTGCTTCACGTCGGTTTTCTGCTCGGCCGTGGTATCACTCCGGTCGAGCCGGCCCATTCGTGCCGAAGCATGGCTCTCCCACACTTGATGTTTGTGCGAGATTATCTCGTGATTGGCTAAACCGATTTTGATGCGGTTTTCAGAAAAGTGTTTTGTATATTTGGGAGAAAAATTTTAGTATATTATATTAGCGATTTTAAAAAAGAGGGGGTTGTATTGGGTTTTTTAAACGTAGTTTATAAACGATTTTTTTTAAAGCCCCACACTACGGTTGTCTCCTGTGTCGTAGGTGCGTTTACAAACATACAAGTTCACATACACATGACACCCAGACCCGGAACAACAATATGTGGATCACACAAAGTGTTGTTCCGTTCGGGAATCGAACCCGCGAAACGTTGCGCGGCAGCCGGTTGCAGAGCCACCGCACCAACCGTGCAGTTTTCCTATAAAAAATTCAATTCTTAATTTGACTGCAACTCTTTGTGTGAACCACAGATTGTAATTCCGTGTCTGTGTGTGCTGTGTATGTGAACTTGTATAAAAAAAAAATTGGTTGCCTGTAAAGTCGGTATACGGGCGAAAGTTTTACGTGACAACGACTTTGAGTGGTAAAATAATTTTAATGTGAATATTCATTCGTATAGTAGGAAGAAGGATGAAATAATAGTAACAATTTAAAACATTTATTTATACAAAGAATTATATTTAAAACATTAATTTATACAAAGAAGCAAGACATGAACCGGTGTGTATGCCTATCTCTCTCACTCTCTCTCTCTCGCTCTGTCTCTCTCGCTCTTAAGCGGGCTAACCATTCCCGAGTGGAAGGGACGCGTGCCTCTCACTCGCTCTCATTGTGAGCGCATAACGTGAGCGGAGCGTAACGCAGTTTCTTGAAGTGTCACCCGGCAAACCAATTTATAAGACGTTGTCACGTCAAAAATGTATGTTTGTACAATTGTACATACACCACACAGGAGACAATCATAGTGTGTAGGGACTTTTTATTTAATACTTGATTTGATTTTGTTTTTAGAAGGGCAAAACATGTATTGGATACTGATTTTAAACAATGAACATCTTGCATGCTTTTGTATGAATGACACATGTTTATGCAAATAAATTATCTTTATCTTTATCTCTTTAGATCGATATTCAAAGAATTCTGCAACTATGTCTATTACGCGGCGAGACCGACGCCTTGTATTGTGTGCTGGTTATATTAACGGCTCATTGTAAGTATTTTTCCATCACAAATAAAATTAACATTAATTTTATATTGTATACTAGCGGCCCGGTACGTGCTTCGCTACGTATAAAGTGAAATAAAATAAACAAATCGGAACATCAAATTCATTTATTTAATCAAAAAAATATTTTATTTAAAATCGAAATCAATTGCTAGCTATTTACAACACACTTAATCCAAAACATTTGGATAAACAATATTTTTTGTTTTTCCATTTTGAGCATAAATAAACAAACGGCTGGGGGTACCGACTCTGGAACAGGCAACATATAACTGGCCATGTGAAAAACAATGTTCCTCCAAATTCACACCACAAACGTGAAGTGTTTGACCTTGGGCCTTGTTGATGGACATCGCAAATGATAAACGCACAGGATATTGTAAACGTTTGAACTCAAAAGGCATATCAGTTGGAATCATAGGTATACGCGGTATCAAAACAACTTCTCCTTTTGATTTACCAGTTAAGATCGTAGCTTCAATCAAATTTGGCAATAACTTTTTCACTGCCAATCTGGTTCCGTTACACAGTTTTGGTGGATTAATATTTCGCAATAATATAATCGAAGAACCAACTTTCAGATTCAAGCAATGCGGTGGCATACCAGCCGGCTCCAATGAATTTAAAAATTCAATTGGATAATTCATTGCCTCATCTTGATTCATAACACTGTCAATTGATTTATATTTCGTGACTACGCCTGGCAGTTTCGCTTGAATTTGAAAATTAATTGCATTGACATGAATGTTTTTCGGTGCTAAAATGGCGCGTTCTGTCAACCAATCATGATTTCTGTAATTCTGAACAATATTCGGAAAAACACATTCAATCAATTCATCTATCGATTGCGCAATTGTACAAAAATTGTTCGGTACAGCGATCAATCCGTTGGTTCTGTCGATTTGTATTTTGCCGTCACCAATTTCTAACAATTGTTTTGAGAACTCATGGGCAGCTGGATCATTTTGTAGGTGAACACGCATATTAATGTTTAGTGTCAATTTTTGTAGATATCTCCAAAGAACTGATGACTTCAAGCAGGCATTTATTTCATCAGCAGGAGTTGATCGAGGAATGACAGGCAATGTTTGACGAAAATCCCCTGAAAGTAATATCAAAGCACCACCAAAAAGCTGTTGATTACCACGTAAATCTTGCATTGTTCGATTGAATGCTTCTAGTGATTTTTTATTCGCCATTGTACACTCATCCCATAAAATAATTGACGTTAATCGCAGAACTTTTGCCATAGCGAATTTCTCGATATATTGCAAGTTGGAGTTTCAATCACCTGTACATTCAATGGCAATTTTAATGCAGAGTGTGCGGTCCGACCACCTTCTAATAATGTAGCAGCAATTCCGAAGATGCAAGTGCTAGTGCAATTTTCTGATCTGATCGAATAGTCGCTAAAATCAATGATATAACGAACGTTTTACCTGTGCCACCAGGTGCATCCAAAAAATATAATCCACCTGCATTATTGGAAACGGCTTGCATGATTGTATCATATACATGTTTTTGCTGAATATTTAATTTGGTTATATTCGATTGTACAAATAAACGCAAATCATTACAGTTGAATTCCTGCTCACGTTGCAATTCACGATCAAACAAATCATGCATGGGACGATTTGGTGCGGTCATACCCAATTGTACTAATGCTTTATTTGCAATCGTTAGACATATATCTTCAATTATTATCAAAGCTTCGTTGCACATTTCCAAGGTAATCAACAAATCAGGATTTCTTGCATGATGACGCATACGAATTAAAATATCTTCTGCCATATAATTTTTATATTTGTTCCATAATTCAAGTGGATTTGATGGCATACATGTCGATAATATAATGGCAAATAGCATTCGTATTTGTTGTGGATGAGCTGACGTAGATGCATCATATGAATGCACTGCAAATGCAATTATGGGAAAAGAAATTTATCGCTGATAATATGCTTTAATCAAACCACGTCCAAAATGAACTGACGGCATGAATGACATAACAACGTGCTTGTCCTGTCAACAAAACTTCAAAAAAGTTTCTGTGAAAAAAGTTTCTATTGAATTCATTTATTACAAAAAATGTGACAAATGAGGAACCGCTCGACCGATTTTGTGCAAACTTCACATAAACCATCTACTAAATATGCCGACCAAATCCTAAGCATTTGGTTTGGATAGGTGAGCCCGTTCTTGAGTTATGGAATTACAACGAAAAGTGGCATTGATTTTTATATATATAGATATCATTAATGTATTGTAATTGTATTGTGAACATGATTGAAAAAGAGTAACCTATGGAGATTCTTGCTCGTTCTTCTCCATAGGAATCTACACTTTGGAACGAGCAAATAGCTTCACTGAAGGACTGACCTACAGACTAACATTTTTTCTTATTATTTAATAGATATTTAAATATTTTGTTCTGACGTTCAAAAGTGCCTTCCTGGGTGCTTACTCTTGAAATCAATATCAATGTCAATACAATTTCAATCCAATAAAATCTCAATAATTATTCAATGTCAAAAATATACAACCCCTATCGTAGCTGTTGAAATAGCATTCAGAGTACGGAATTTAAAGCCAAACTCAATACCATTTAGTTCATTCAATATCCACGCAAAACGGATGCAATGGGGTCTAGTGTCGTAACTCGAGAGTACGAAATTTCACAATACCAATGTCGACCGATCGGAATTGGATTCAAGAGTAAGCCCGCTGGTCTAATTGAAATAAATGAGTTTGACTTTGGCTTTGACTTTGAATGTCGTGATGGCCCAGAGGTATCAAACTGTCAAACACCGCGAGGACACCGGTAACCGCAACCTATTGTTCTTTAATTGTGTCTATAATGACGGTACTCAAAGGTTTAAGACGCTCGCTTCTCATGCATGAGGGTACAGGTTCGAAACCTACCACCAGCAAGTACTAATGTGACTTTCCCGAGTTATATGTACTTTCTAAGAATATCTAGACACCACTGACAGACGGTAAAGGAAAACATCGTGAGGAAACCTTCGCTTATAATTTTTAATTATAAGTTTGAAATCGTCAACCCGCATTGAGCTAGCGTGGTGATTAATGCTCAAATATTCTACGTGTGAGAGACACTTTGGTCAGCATTATTTTATTATTTTTGGTTTCGGTATAGACTGTAGATTAAGTCCAAAGCATTCTTTTAAAAAAATATTCGATGTACAGTTTTCACTTTTCTACGATTTTATTATATGTTATTATTTTCAGTACACGACCGTCCCGACCCTGATTTACAAGAAGCCACGATTCGATTTATTCATGAAATCTTCAGAAGTATATCAGGGAAGAGTGAGACAGAGATAGCCGTGCATCCCGCTCTGTTCATGTGTAACACTACTGCCTGTGTTCAGAGTATTATAAAGGTAAGCAAAATAAAACTACCATACAAGATATGACCTTCCGCTATTTCAATTCCCCTAATCTCCTATTACCTATCCCTTATCCTTTGTCCCCTATCCCCTGTCCCCTTTCGGTATCCCCTATACCCTATCCCCATCCCATCTCTCTATGCCCTATTTTCCTATACCCTATCCCTATGCACAACACCCCATCACCTATCCCCTAAACCGAATCTCGTATCCCTATACTCCATACCCCGTCCCCTATCCCCCATCCTCTGTCCCCTATCCCCCATCAAGAAACCCCAAATCCCCAAAAGGCTGGAAAAGCACTCGTAACTTTTTTAGGCGGGCGTCCATGGGCGGTGCTGATCAAGTAATCCACCTGCTTCCCTTATCTCATAACATAAAAATACATGCACAGAATCAACCGCCTTACTCTTGTCACAGAGTATCACTGAAGAACTAGACCCAAAAGTACGTAGGAAGCTATCAGAACACCTTCAGCTCCTGCTCACCCAGGATCCTGGCTCGGAGACCACGGGGGAACTCCTCAACGTGGTGGCTGAATATTCGTCCTTCATGATGGCAAGGGATGAAGGTTTGTTGTAGTCAATATTCCCGCGCGGTTTAACTCGATGCTCCTATTGATCGTAGTATGATGTTTTGGTCTATAACCTTCCTCGATAAATGCACTATAGAACGCAAAAATAATTATTGAAATGGGACCAGTAGCTCCGGAGATAAGCGCGAGCAAACTTCCTCCAGGTTCTCAATTCGACTGTATTTTATTTTTTTATGTTTGGTAATCGATTACTCGAAGACGCCTGGACCGATTTCTATTTTTTTTAATTTGCATATATAAGCTTGTCATTTGGTCCCATTGTCATCAAGTCAGGATCTAATGATGGAATCCCAGGGCAACAGAGGGGAACTTTTAAAAATTATAGGGGCGACTAGTGCATTTTTTCATTAAGTATTTAAAACCACTACAATCTGATGAAGGTCTGGAGACTATCTGATGATGGAGCTGAGAGCCAGTCGAGGGAACTCCTCAACGGTTAACAGTAGCTATTAGGGGTCGCAAACCGGGATACCGAATTTCGAAAATACCGGAATACCGGGCCAAATTTAGGTCTAATTAATACCGGTAGTCATTTCACAAAAACCGGGATATTCGGTATTTTTGGTTTTAGTAAAATAATTAAAAAACACTGAATTTAAACTGTCAAACACCAAGCGGTCACCGGTGACCGCGACCTATTGTTCTTTAATTGTGTCTATAAAACCGGTACTCGACGAGTTAATTTAAGAATTTTTGTTATTTTGGTAATCAGAATATTATTTCATGATTAGTAAACCATACTAAGAGTTAATTTTATGTTTTATGAGAATATTTTATTAATTTTATGTTTTATGAGAGTTAATTACAAGTGTATTTTTGGGTTCGTTTTGTTTATGTTGAGACTGTTGTAAGATGTTTAAGTTTGATAAACATTTTATTTTTAGAACTGATTTCTAGTAGGAATCCTACTTCCTAGTCAACTACATTTAATTAAAGTATTTGAACTAGTTACCTCAAGTTATTGTATGTAATAAAGGAATAAACGGAACATTAGTAAATTATTGCTAAGTACTAACTAACTGGGTGATTGTCAACAATAATAAACCTTGTGTCAATGAAAATTTTGTTTTATTTAGAAGATGAATTCATTTAGGTTAGGTACCTACTTACTATTCCTCCGTAAACTAACTTTATTATACTAAATTTGCTAACTTAGGTTAATCCCGGAAATATCGAAAATACCGGGATATCGGTATTGGTCTGGGGCCAATACCGAAAATACCGGTTTTGGTCAAATGATTCGGTATTGCGACCCCTAGTAGCTATCTTGTGTTTGGGTTTGATTAATTTGTACTGATGAGGACTCTACATCTAGGTGTAGTGTGGTTGTCAATAAGGGTCTGATGATGAAGCAGTACGATAGTTGAGGTAACTCCTCAGCGTTTACCAGTACCTACCTTGTGTTTGGGTTTGATAATTTGTATTGATGAGGACTTAAATCTAGATGGTATGTAAAGGTCCAATGATGAAGTAGTATGATAGCTGAGAGAACTCCTCAATGGTTAACAATAGCTACCTGGTGTTTGAGCTTTAATAATTTGTATTGATGAAAACTGTGCATCTATGTGGGTTGTACATAATATAATATATTCTGTACTAAACTAAAAAGTACAAATTAAGAATAAAAACTTAAAAAATACCGACTTCAAAAACCAAAAAAACTAAAAGCAAAAATAACTATTATTGGTCATACGTAGTTATAGCTTACACACCCACTGATAGATTAGAAGTCGGTGCCTCTGATTACCTTTTTGCAGCTTACCACCTACCACATACATTTCTGCACTTCCCAAATGATGACTGGTAGAGAATGCTGTTTACATTACGCAATTGTATAAAACATAGATAAATAAATAGTTAATGTATTTTGTTTTTACTTTTCAGCATCAGTTCATCTACCAGACTTGGACATACTAAGAGCCTTCCTACTATCAATTGTAGACAACAACGCCTTAATAACAGAATATTTGCCGAAAATACTAATTTTCACGTCAAAAATAAACGATGCGACTGACATTTTTGACCAAGCATCAATCAGTTTGATAGAAAAAATCGACCTTTTCACACACGATCAGATTTTAGAGGTTATCAAAAAGGTTATTGAGAATTATTCAGTAAATCTTGTCAATACAGAATTGATAATAAATAATATAGTAAGCTTCGTAAAGCGTGTTTTTGAAATCAAAGAATTTGGCGCGAAAATCATAATTGACATTTTATTGTCAATGTTGCAAGCGTTAACTGTTATTTCGCCGCAATTTTCGCATCTGGTAACATTGTTAGTATATTTGAATTTGACGTTTGAATTCGATAACGGCCTTCGGAGGATGATCGTTGAATTTGATAATTCGAAAATTTTGGAACAATTATTGAAGATGGATAATTTTGGAGAAAACGAAATGAATGCTGGTTTTTTGTTCCTAAGAGAATTCGCCGATGAATTACTAGAAATCAGTAGTGAGGTAAGATTTTTAATAGCTTTTGTAAATTTTTTTTTAATTGCCATTGATATTTTGTCATTTTGGTTTAAGTGGGTAAATGTAACTACGGAACAAAGGAGACTACCTCGTTGGCCGAGTGGTCCCAAGTGACAGCCGGGCAAGGGGTCTCGGGTTCGATTCCCGGGTCGGGCAAAGTATTACTGGGTTTTAAAAAATTCTCAGTAGTAGCACGGAATCTGGAATTGTGCCCGGTATATGGCAATAGTCTCACCCCCTATTACATGAGACTCATAACGTAAATAGTGAAAATACGGGCAATAATGACTGATGAAAATGTATATCTATACAGACAGTATTCCTATTTGATGCTATAGTTATTAGTTGCATGTAATAAGGATTGGCAACTTAAGTCATTTCCGGGGCGTTCAAACAGACTTCTTGTTTAAAGGAATTCAAATCCAATAATATTTTAAGAATGAGAAACTTCATTTTGACTTCTATGTATTTTTTTTAATAATTATTTATTTTATTAACTTCAATATATTACAAGCCGGTAAACGGATCACCCGATGGTGAGCAATCGGCGTCGCCCATGGACACCTGGAACACCAAAGGCGTTACAAGTGCGTTACTGGCCTTTTGGGGATTGTAAATATGAGGATTGCTGGGGATTCAGAGATTGGAGAGATTGAGGAACGGTGTGGGGGTAATTGGGCCTCCGGTAACCTCACTCACATGACCAAAAAACAACGCAATCGTTATATTATGTCGGTCCTCTGCTCGGCCGAGGTATCACTACGATCAGGCCGGCCGTGCCGAAGCATGGCTCTCCCACACTTAAAATCTTTGTTCTCAGTATTGTTTTTTAAACCAATATTTTTTTATTTTTTCAGAAAACATACCAGTGCCTTGGCCTTGTAATCGAAAACGTAACTCCACAGTCTGTAATAACATTAAAAAGTAATATAACATCATGTCTGTCCGTATACCAATCAAAACCAAATTCTTTAAGCCCAATCAACGAAAATATTCAAAATTGGTTCAAAAAAATTAATATCGAAGAATTGACAACCCTAATCGAAAAATGGTTCAAAAGTGTCAACCCTGACGAATTGATTACCGATATTGAAACGAGAGAATCATTCGCAAACGTAACGAAAGAAATTTCTGAAAAAGTACACGCATTAAAAATCATGTCTGAATATTTCAAATTCGAATTTGATGCGAAAAACTTGACTTTTATTGCTATCGTAAATATCGACGAAAAGTTATCGAAAATTCTCTTAATCGACTTGCTGATAGTTTGCGAGAAACATTTGTCTGATGAAGACTTTTTGTTTGTATTACAAAATAAGTTTGATTTTTTGAAAAATCACGTCGTGGTGTTTTTCAAAAGGATTATTTCTAAGCCATATGTTATTAAAAAGGAAGAGTGTTCAATATTAATTGATGCTATGAATTATTTCGCTACTGCATTCGACAAAGATTGTTATCAAGATATACTGGACTTTATTGATTACGTAAGTATATTAATTACTAGCTACTTCCGCACGGTTTCACACGCTCTGCTCAGCTCCTATTGGTCATAGCGTGATTTTTTATAGCGTATAGCCATCCTCGATAAATGCGCTGTCCAACACAAAACGAATTATTCAAATCAGACTTGTAGTTACCGAGATTAGCGCGTTCAAACAAACAAACAAAAAAACAAACTCTTTCGCTTTAAATAATAGTATAAGATTACAACACTCTTTTAATTATAATAAATAACTGCACGGTTGGCGCGGTGGTTGGGCAACTGGCTGCCGCGCAACGTGTCGCGGTTCGATTCCCGCACGGAACAACGATTTGTGTGATCCACAGATTATTGTTCCAGGTCTGGGTGTTATGTGTATGTGAACTTGTATGTTTGTAAACGCACACACGATAAGGGAGAAAAAATTAGGGCAATGTTTAAAAAAAAAGTCGTCATGTATGTACAATGGGGGACAAATCCACAAGGGCAGTTACTCTTAAAACATATCTCAACGTCAATTTCATAACAATTGACGATTGTTATGAAATTCACATTAAGATTTACATAAGAAAACTTGGGTGAGACATACTAAATTAATTATAATGTTTCCGGCTTACTCACGTAACTGTTTGACGAGGAACTCGACTAGTTTCAAGCCATGCTAGAGGCTCATATTCATGAGCAGCATTTCGCGACACATAACGCGGCGACTGTCGCTGCTACTGTCGCTGCAATAATTTATTTAGTACTAGCTTTTACCCGCGACTTCGCTCGCGTCACAAAAGGATACAAAGTAGCCTAGTAGTATTTAGAATAGTCTACAAATTCTACAAAATGTCAGAGATAGAACGTTGACACTGAGTAGCGTTCCAGTATTTGGGCGTAAG